TAGGCCGTATTTTGCGCAATCCTGTATAACGCTGTATAACAGCCTATAGATCCGTGTAATACCGCATATCACCGTATGACCACCTACACCTACATGTAACGCCGTATAACGCTTTGGGATCGGGTAACGCACCCGCACGCGTCTCGTATCGCCGCGCCATTCACGGCCGCAAACCGTGAGCGTTTACGCTTTCCGAGCCGCGTTGTCACTCCACCGGGTCTATCTTTCTTTTCGATCTTGGCCTTGGGCTTCGGTAAATACCGCGGGACGAGAAAAATTTCCTCCATACGGACACATGGACGTTTACGCGCAGGGTGTTTCGATCGTGCTCATCGCGGCGTTTTAATTCCAGTAATTTCCCGTGGCCGAGAGGAAGAAAACGTTTCTTTTTCTGGAAACGTTCTCGTTTATATGGGAGGAGAGTTTTTTCGAGAATGTTTCTTTTTTTTTTTCTCTCTTAAGTGGGAAACGCCGTGAGAATGGAAACGCTCGCTTTGAGGTCGGCCATCCTCGGGACGAGGTGGAATCCGGGAAAGCCGATCGGTGGAACGAGGAAACGAGATTCGGCGGCGGAGAAACGGGCGTTTAACGGCTCCCCGCTGCTTTCCTTTCGTCGTGGTCCCTCACCCGGGGCCGCGGTTGCGCCATCGACTCTCGACTTCAATAATGGAAGGACGGCGTTTCTTTACGACCCGCCGATGTGTGTGCCTCGGTCCCGGAGTGCGTCGGACGAAATGAAAGCAGCCATTGTGCCCCGTGCCTCGTTCCCGTGACACTTTTTTAACGCCGGCCTCTCTCCCGAAGAGGACCCTCGGCGAGGAAGCCGCGCGACGATCTCGAATGACCATCCCGAATGGAGATTCCGAACCGGCGTTACGAAAGTCGATTACATCCGGCGATCCCGAGATGTGATACTAGACAGGGATACCAAATTATATTAATAATGCTCTTTCTTAAAAATAATAATAATAATAATAATAATAATAAAATAAATTCCAAATGGTGACTCTAAATAGCAATATACCCGGACGACGATTCCGAGGTACGATCCTAAACGGCGAACCCGAACGGCGATTTTAAGCTGCAATTTCATTCTGGGATCCTATGCGAAGACCCTAATAACGATCCTAAACGGCGATTTAAACAATCATTCTGAACGGTGATTTAAGACGGTGAGCTTAAACGGCGCGGCGGGACTAAACGACGATTCCAAAGGATGACCCCGAACGGTGATCCTAAACGGCGATTGTAAAGAATAATCCTAAGCGGGGAACGGAGACAGCGATCGTAAACTGCAGAGCGGTCCTAAACGTTAATTCCTAATTGGCGATTCCGAATAACGACTTTCAAAGTGGCCATCCCAAACGACGATTTCAAAATGGCGATCCCAAATAACGATTTCGATACGGCGATTCCAAAGATCTTAAATAACGACGGATCATCGTCTCTGCGTCGCAACGGCCTCTCATTTTTTTTTTCCCTCTCGTTGGCGGCAACGGCTCTCCGCCGAGAGTAGCCTGTCCCACTTTGATATGGATCTGACCTTAATCGTTCTAACGCCGTTCCTCGTTAGGCCACCACGTGGCGCGCGTACGAGGAAACCGAGTCTCTTCTCCGCCTATCGGGCGTACCCGAGAGCGGCAACACACTCGATTACGCAACCGTCAGCTGACTCTAGATTTCCCATTTGATCGGACGAGCCTCTCGGTGACACAGACGGGGTCAAGAGGCCAAAGATTCCTTCCCCTCCCGCCACCTTTTTTGTCCTCTATCTAAGACGCCGATAACGTTCTTCCCGCACCCCTATGTCCCTATGATTCGCCTACGAATAATTAGAAATAAAAATATTCACGATGAATTTATAAGAATAGAGTTCGCATACTTTCAACAAATAAGGTCGTATTCAAATTTCGATATATATATTTTATTATATATATTATATATATATATAATAAAAAATATATATAATGTCCTTTTCATATCAATTTATAAGACGCTTATGTAAGCCGATGATCCGGTTGTCACTCGAGATTTCCCGATCGGTGGCGTTTCTCGATCGGGAAACCAATGTCCATCGTCGCCTCAAATCGACGTCCTTCCCCGACGCCTCTCCGGCCTTGCCGGCCTTAATTGGATTCGTTAGCATTATCCGGTAATTGTCGGCAACGAGCAAGCGCGTTCGCAGAAAAAAAATTACGCCCCGCTATCGGGGCCAAATAATAAATCCCGTAATTGTGACGACGAGATTGGCCGGAAGCTGATAGGCGCGCCGTTGTTATTCGTTAATCCCGCGTGCTAAATTACAAGAGCTCAATGGAAAGTAATGTAAAGTATAATTATATTACAGTAGAGCGGGATAAGGGAAAGTTAGTTATATGCGAAACGGAGTAGACGCGCGTCGAAGAGATGCACGCTGAGAAAAAGGATTAGTTGACTCACAATTTTTTCAAAAATATCTTAATCGTTTAAATAAACTCCCCGTTTAAGACGTCGGGTTAAATCGACGTTATTAAAAAATTGCCGTAATTTGTATCCACGATTCGAGAATTCTCATCTGGTGCGTGGTCTCGTCATCTGCAGAAGTGTTGAAAAAAGACATTACCTTTATACGGAATTGTACGTACTGTCATGGGCGCCCTAAGGAAGAGCGTGGTGCTTATAAAATTTCATTTTGAATAAACAATTTTTTCTTCTATTTATCCCAGATTAGAACCAATAAAACATATATATTTTTTTTTTAATGAAACTATGAGCACCACGTTCTTCCTTAGAGCCTTCATAATCACGTGCTGAAGTTTCAAATGATTCGGTGCACCCAGTTTGGAGGAAAGTTGTATAAATATTTTGACGCTTTATATATACAGAATGACCCTTTCATATCATCTTAAAAAACCGTGGGCTTAGAAAATGAAAGTCAGTTGATTAAAGTCGATGATTTTAATCAGTCGATTTAAATCAACTCAACCCTGTATGTTGGTTCGAGAACGCGGGGACGTGGGAAGCTGCCTGGTCGATACGTCGATTTCATTCCGTTGCATGACGACCCGAATTGCAGTCGGGTGCACTCGGACTCGGAATCTCCCGATATATTCCCACTTGCACTCGGAACGGGGCCCTAAGTGAGACGGAACGGGGACTCCGATTTGGCAAGCCCTCGTCGGGTGCACCGGGAGTTACTATAATTACCCGGCTTGGTATAGGCGCAGTTTTCACTTAACTTCCTTGTTTTCACCGGCTCTCCGTTCTACTTTCCCCCGGGCCGAAGGCGCGTTCGGGCCGACGTGTCGAAATCGGCCGATCGAACGCGTTTCGATCCGCGGGAACCCGGGAGAGACCACTGGGCGAAAGGAAACGGGAGAGAGAAAGTCGCTCTCCGGGTTAGACTCGAAAACGCCGCCGAGTGTCCCCGGCGACGCTTTCTTGCCTGGCTGCGATTTGTCGAATGAATATCTACCCGGGAAAAAAAAAAAACAAGACATTTGCTCATGTAGCCATGAATATTGCTGATATTCTTCGCCTTCTTGCAAGAACAATTACAACTGCAAAAATATTTGCAAATATTTGAAAACTCCGCCGAGTGTCCCCGGCGACGCTTTCTTGCCTGGCTGCGATTTGTCGAATAAATATCTACCCGGAAAAAAAAAAAAAATTTGCGCATGTAACAATGAATATTGCTGATACATTTTTCGCCTTGATACTTGCTTCTCGTTCCTTTTATAACATTAATGTTCATAATTAATAAATTTCAATCCTGGGTAATGAGGCAATTTCGGGGCCTGACGATCGTTTTGATAGTTTGTACTTCGAGCCTGCTTGTCAGTTTTCGTATAACGTTAATCTTTGCAATTAATAAGGCGAACATTATCCGTAAGGAGTATTCTCGGGTCTTGACAATCGTTTTGCCCGGAGTCTCGTGACGATTGTGACGAGCCCTCGAGGAACGCGGAGGGAAACGACCGGACGCGGAACGAGCGTTCCGCGCGGCGGCCGCACGATGGGCCGCGCTTATTCCGCAACGGGTCCGGTGAACCTGAGCGGGGCTAACGCACTCCTGGCAGGCGGCATTTCCGCGCCGTGTTCACCGCACGTGAGCCCAATCGCGTGTCCTGCATACTCCTCTTCCTCTCGTTTTTCCCTCCGAGCGGCTTTTCCCTCTCCTTTCGTCTCTCCGTTTTTTCTCCTTCACTTGCCCGCGTTACTCGCTTCTTTTCTTTGTCCCTCTCTCTTTCCCTCCCTCTCTTTCTCTCTCCTATATCGGTAGGTTCATCGGGTCGATCAACTGTCGATGACCTCGAGGGTGCGAAGGGAAACGGCAGGGAAAGACACGTTTCGTCCACCTGACGACCGAATTGTCCTCTTATCGGGTTTAAGCTCTAAATCGGAGCGATTCTTATCACCCTGAGAAAATAAAAATGTCACTGAACCGAAGAAATATTTTTTGTATATTCCCTGAGAAATATTTTGTTAATTCACAGAATGTTTATTCGACTCGAATTAAATTAGATGCAACGTGTCATCGGAATTATGACGATTTATTATGAGTTTATTTGAGTCAAATAACTCGTTGAATTATCAAACTATTGCATCGACATTCAAGTGTAAATCCTTAAGCGAGATGAATTGCACGAATTAAAGATTAACTGATCACAGTTAATGCGGTGAGGTTGGATCGAAATGATCCAATTTCCGTTTAAGGGACGTCGAACCCTCTCCCTCATATTTAACTATCTCAATCTGAGAGTATCGGTGAAACGGCGTTTTTCCCGTTTTTCTTCCATTTCACGAATAGTCACTTTCTCCGTCCAAGTCGGCCGGTAAAAAACGGCATTTCCCGGCCGAGATGAGAAAGCGCACATCGGGTCTTCGGCGATCGAGTCGATTTAGCGATCTGGACGCGTTCGGGAAAGTTAATTATAAGGCCATCGGCGACGCTCACGCCGGAGATCGTTTCGCTATCTAACGAGTTTATTCGACCTTTTTCCCTTTCCTTCCTGTTGCAGACTTGCGGTGAGCGACTGTGCGCCTCAGACGTCGCGGGTCAGCTCGAACTTGCACAGCAGCAGTAGCATGGCGGTAAGCCGTGTCCCGAGCCCCCCGCCGCCGGAAGTCAACACCCCTGTCGCCGAAAATTGGTGTTATACGCAGGTACGTGTCCAACCTCACGTCCGATCGGTTCTTCCGCCCCGAGAAGAGGATTATGTACAGGGAAATAGTTATTTCGTCCTCCCTCCATCGTAAGTCCGATTTTCGGTGCCCGTCGAGCGGGGCGAAGGTTGCCTATTACGTTGCTATGTCACGTTTTGTCTCCCAAGGGAGGAAAGTAGCTACTTTTTGCCCGCATAAAGGTGGACTATGCTTTACCTCTCGAGGTAGGAAAATAGTCACTTTCCGACCGTGTAAAGTGGACTACGTAACGTTTTACTTTTCGAGGGAGAAAAGGAGTTATTTTCCGGTCGCATAAAAGTGGGATTTGGAAGGAAAAGTTAGTAGTGTGTCGATCTCTTGGGATCGATGAGATAGGTGGGGCGTTTTTATTAACAAATGCCTCGTACGACTAAATGATTTATCATTGTTTATAATAAATTTGTAAGCGATTTCGACAAGATCTCCATCGGCGGGTCGCGCCGTCACTCGACAGGCATTTAGAAACCGAACTTCCGGTTAGAAGGTAGGGTGAAAAATGGTATACGTATCTAGGGAGTTCCGTGGGCGATTACGACTCGTGTGTTGCCGCCCCCGTGCGTAATTGCCTACTTTCTCCCTCGTCACGTAATGTACTAATTTATGCGCCAAGGGTGAGAAGTAACCGTTTCCGGAGCAGAAATGATAAAAGGGCCCTGATCGGGACCTGAATATGGCATGATCATTTGCATTTTGTGCACTAACCGTTTCGTGGACGTCGGATGTATCCGAAACTGGGCGCGGAAGAGTTGGTTGATTTATAAAACATCAATGAGATTATAAATAGCGTTTAATAGTAGTCGGTTGAGTTTAGCTTTACCTCGGTTTCATTTCACTTCATAATTCATCTCGACGCCATTATCGGGTACGCCTTTAAGCCGATTAGGGGTAACTCGAGGAAGGGAATCGTCAGTATCGGAGCCAGAATTCCGTCCAGAGAAACCGCCTCCGTAGCTCTAGCACGTAACCGGCTCGATTCTAAGACGTTACGACACGGAGAAAGTAAAGGAACTCGATTCACGGCGTTCCTTGGGAAATTTTCGGGGGAGACGATCTCGGTCCGATCTCATATGGACTAGGATCTGGGATGTCGAGGTAACGAGTTCTTCTGGATCATCGGGGAATTGCGTCACCCGCCGATGACGATAACGATGATATCGGTGACGCTGATGACGGTTCCCTCGTGGGTCCCATATTTTTCTCGAGATCTTGATCTTCGAGTTCTTCAAGCCCGACATTGGTCCTGTCTTAAGTTTCATAAACGGTTGACTCCTCGGTTGCTCCTTACATGTCGCCTTAAAACCCATTAAGGTTCACGATTAGAGCTCCTAAGTAGAATCAAAATTTCGACTTAGGTCAATTCACTTAAAACACGTTCAAGGCGAACAATCATCCTCCATTACCCCAGTAATGGTGTCGTTGACCCTGACGATGACTTCAGAGCGTTGCCGAAGAAGGGCGACCCGCGCATCCTCGACGTCCATTTTTATCCTCGTTTCATCGCTTCCTCATATTCTCTTATTCTCCCATTTTCCAATTTCCTTATTTTCACATTTTCGTATTTACGCATTATCGTATTTTCACATTTTCGTATTTTCACATTTTCGAATTTTCACATTTTCGTATTTTCACATTTTCGTATTTACGCATTTTCGTATTTTCACATTTTCGTATTTTCACACTTTCGTATTTTCACACTTTCGTATTTTCGCATTCTCGCATTCACCCCGATACCGTCTTTCCTCGATTCGCGAAGGTGTGGAAGAGGTGCGTCGACGAGTCGGCGAGGACGCCCGCGTGACAGCACGCACTTTCATGGCGTTCCGAATCTATTTTTACTGCTCGCTCCCTTGCGAAGTTGAACGACCTGCAACTAGATATCTCGCTCGTCCTCTCCTCTCCTCCCCTCTCCTCCCCCCGCGGAATCCTCGTGAACTGGGAAGAAATATTCGGTCACGTCGTCTCCCCGTCGTCGTTATCGTTCTTATCGTCTCCATTCTCTCGTTTTCGCGTCCACTCGTCGAGAAGTCCGGAGTCGGGCGCACTTCTTGCAGATTTCCTCGTTTGGACTTTCCCTTAAAAATCTTCCTCCGTATCGCTCACCTTATCGCCCGATTTGGTGTATATCGATATCCGCGTCCTCTTCCGCTCTCTATGTAAGAAACTAAAACGGTTGAAAACCAGCGCACGAGAGAATGGGAAATGATTAGAAAAAACATGGCGCCCGGATCGCGAGGAAATGGGTCGTAAGCGTGTTCTAATCACTTTTACGAGCCATTTCTCCCTCCCGCGCGTTAACGGGCTCCTGCTTGCCTCTTTTCTTATTTTTACCATTCCTCTTTCTCCCTTTTCGCTACTTCGCGGGGTGGTAATCGTCATTCTCTCGGGCATCGTTCGTTACTGACGGCGGTTCCGAATTCGCGTTTTAAGGTAACGTGAAAGTGGCGTCAAGGAGGTACCGTTTATGAAACTTTTCTCCGAACTGGGTGTACCGAATCCTCACAAACTTAACAATGCGAATACGAATGCTATAAATGAAATTTCGCGCGATTCAGGACCTAGTTTAGGGTCTCCTTATAAAAAATAGGTAGTTCTGGTAAGGATGGCGAGTCGCGAGGTGTCGGTCGTTACTTTTCCCGGTTTCGCGCATAATTCGTCGTCCGCGGTTCCGACATCGCGAATCCAAAATGGCGGCATGGCGTAGCCACTTTTCCCAGTCCCCCCGAGTTTTCTCACTTTCCTTGTTTTCTTTTCGCGAGCCCCGAGGTCACTCGCCCCTTGCAAGCCCATCGCGATCCTCATCTCGTTCCTTCGTGTCTTTTCTCTCTCTCTATTTCTTCGCGTTCCTTCGAAGCGCCGCGCGTTTAAAAGAGGCGCCCGAGTGCGTTGCCCTCCTCCCCCCTTTCCGCCGCCCTCGCTTCCTCCGCCTCCTTTTCTCTCCCTTGCCCTCTCTTTCTCTTTCTCTCTCTCTCTTTCTCCTTTGCCGCACGCAACTCGCCGGTTTTCCCCTCCGTGTCTCCGTTCCCTATCGATTCTCCCACGACTCGTCGAATCGAAAGTCGATCCATGCTCCAGTTAGCTCCCGCAATGGCCGCTCCGCGAGACGCCGGGACTTCGTCTCCGTACTCTACTCGGATTTGCTCGCAATTTGAAGATTCTGACATTTTTTCCTACCCCCCGGTTTTCGCTATTTCTTGCGGGACATCGATGACCATTTTCTAAGCCGACCCTGAAGAACGTTTACACCGGAGGAGCACCCGACGAGGCGGGAGGGGAAATAAATTAGGTTGCCAATTTATTGATTACACTATCGCGTTACAGCTTTTCTCGTTATTCCAAATTCAACCCTTGTTATTACCCGCGCAACTTTACAACGTGAAAGTGGAGGTCATAAGGAAGGTCCCGACATCCATGAAAATTCAATTCTTTCTTTTTTTTTTTTAATTTATTTATAGGTATTTTAAAAATTTGTCATGAAATCTGAAGGTTCACGGGTGCCGGGACCTTCCTTAGAGCCTGGACGTAGAGGAAGGTGTCCAGGAAACGAAGTCAAATCCTTAACCAAAGGTTTAATATTTTTAATTCTTCACATTGAAGACGATATGGTATCCAAAATTTGGGCACCTTTCTGTACATGTGGTAAAGCGTGAAACTATTCGGTACGCCCAGTTCGGAGTAAAGTTTAACGAATAATTGACCCTTAGGATGTCACTTCCGCATCGTCTTAGTATCCAAAACTGTGACGACTCTGGCCAGCTCGGTATCAAAGTCAATACCCGGACGTCAAAATCTGGCCCCGCATGACCCTCGTTCACGGGAGGGGAATGACTCGAGATGACTCAAGATGACGTCGCGTCATCGAAGCCGTATTCGGAGGATTCGGATTCGTCCCGCGTGCGTCCATCTCTGACACAACGCGTCCCCGAATACGTGCGGGAAACCCTGGGCGTTTTTCTCACCGTCCAGTTCCTCGTAACCGATGTCGTCAACCGTTCGGTGTCGTTGTCCCCGCGGCATAACCAAAGAGAGGGAGAGAGAGAGAGAGAGAGACGCGGGCCATATATCCCTCTCTCTCCCTCGGCCGCGCCTCGACGTTTGCCTTCCTCGTTGCTCCGGCACGTGGTGGTGCTCGGTCTACCGGAAGTGTAACACGTCTGGTGCTTGAACCCGACTCGCGCCCCTCGCAGACGGGAACGCACCACGGAACGGAACGGGAGGATGATTCAAGGCCGATTGGCGCGCGCGCGGTCGTGACGAGTTGAACGACTCGCGGGCCGACGACCGCCACTCCGGAGATCCTCGGCTAGGCTCGGCTAGGTTCGGTTGGGTTCGTCTAGATTCGTCTAGGTTCGTCTAGGTTCGTCTAGGTTCGTCTAGACTCGACCAAACTCGATCAGACTCGACCAAACTCGATCAGACTCGACCTTAGACCATATATATCTAGACCTCACATTGGACCTCCCCCTCCCAAATTTTCAGTAAACAGAATGGCTTTAACAGTGTGAGTGAATAATCGCGTCACATAGTGCATTCGTATTGGACCGAACACGTGACTCGAGAGCGCCTAAGAATTATTCTACACTCTCAAAATTTGAATCTTCGATTATTTTGTTTGACTTCGCCTAAACCAGAACCAAAATGGCGTCGAGTTCTTGGATTTCGATCGATCTGTAATTGTTGAAGGCTCTGATATGAGAAACGAAAGTGTATGTAAACCTTGTACTTTTACCCTTTTCTTTTCTCCTCGAGTCCATCGTCCTTCCTTTCAAAATATTCCACCGGTGGCACAATCGACGAGCCTTCTAAAGAACGCAGAAAATCCATTCCGTGGGTGGATTAAACATCGGTGGAGTATAAATTCTTTTTAACACCCCCGCGATTCCTGTATAAATCAAAACTCTCAAGCGTACTCGTTGCATTGAGAAATCCATAAGTGGATCGATAAAGATAATTCTCCCTCGAAGTTGTATTTACCCTGAGTAAAAAAAAATTAATTTCATCGAGCCAGAGAAATCTTTCTTCGAATAGTACCGAAGAAATATGTTAATTCAAAGAATTCGACATAAATAAACTGTCTATACGTCGTTTCTTCAGAATTACGAAAATTTAATTGACTTGACTTGAGTTAAATAATTATTCTTTAAATTAACAATTTTCTTGGTTCAATGAATGTGTTTCGTTCCTCAGGGTAATAATGGGCACTCTTCGACTGGATTATTAATTTCTCACTTTTTTCTTATATTTTCATTTTCATTTTCCTTTTAATGATGCTCAAGGAGTCGTTGGGAAATCGGACCTTATTGAACCGAGTCCTACTTTAATGCCGACAAGATCGCCTCGTTTGTTCTACGCGATATCCGACGGAGAAATTCCTCGACCCATTTTCGATTGCTTTGTTCTTCGAGTCCAGTTATTTTCCTCCCTTTTGCTCTTTCTCTTCGTCGTCGTGGACGTCCAAAGTCGACGCAAGGAGTCGAAAATTGCGGCGTAAAGCCGTGATTTACGGTCTTCCGGCCCCGACATATCCGGTGTATTTATCGACATTACACAGGAGAGTCGATGTAACGAGCGTGTCAGACACTTTACACTCGTTACGTCTTTACGTCGATCCGTAACAAGATAAGTTAGGTTAAAATCCGTTACACGCGATGCGTCGATTCGCATCAGGTTAGGTTACGCTGATATACGATGTACTGATAAACATTGATTTATTATTTATTTGTCTTATTATTATTTTGTCTTAAATAGTGTAGGTGAGATTAACGTTCGGTATGTTTATTAGAGTTATATGGGAGACTCGATGTAACATCCGTATGATACACTTTACCCTCATTGCATCGTTGCGTCAATTCGTCTCCTCGGATTATGTTATCATCCATTCCATGAAAGACTCGTGTAAAACACGTTACACTCATTACGTTGTTACGCCAATCCTTGTCCTCGTGTTAGTTTAAATTAACATGAGCAGTATGTCGATGCAACACCTATATAAAACGCTTTACCCTCGTTGCATCGTTACGTCAATTCGTCTCCTCGGGTCAGATTAGGTTATCACCCGTTTAACGAAATATTCACGTAAGACACGTTACCCTCGTCCCGACGTTACGTCGATTCTTCCCTCGAGCTAGGTTAGGTTAACGTTCTCGGGACTTCCGCCTTGAGTTCACCGGCTGGTTGCGCGAAAGGAGATGGAGCGATTACGCCTTCGGTGGGGGTGATAAGGACACGAGGAACAACGGAGACGAGTCGATTCTACTTCGACTCGTTAACGGCTCCGTCAAGGCCGCCGTTTAACTCGCCACGTCGAAGAGCATTGACTCCGAGGTTCGACCTCGAGTTCCTTCCCTTCCTCCTCGACCTCTCCCGTTCCTTCGGCTGGTCGTTGCTACTTCACCTTCTGGATATATCCTCGAGTTCCTCCCCCGGCTCTCCGATTCGCTCCTTCGATTCGCTTACGGCCTCCTAGGCCGTACTGTACTACGTGCAGTAAACCGGATCGATCGGCGATGGCAAATCTCCGTCGCTTTATAAAAAAAAAAAACCATTCGATCGGGGAGGCTCAATGGCGTTACGTGCATTTCATTAATTAAATATTCAACGCGAGTTATGATCCGCGAAAAGGAGACCATGAGGCGGAGGCGGGCGAATCGAGGTTACCCAGAGATTCGTTGTCTATTCGTTTATTTCATTGGTTTGATTAATTTCATTAAGGTGATAGGAAAGGGTCATTCTATGTGTGTGTATATATATAATTTTTTTATTTGTCTCGGGCTACATCCAAGAATACATTTTTTTTTTTTTATGTAATTTCATTGACAACGTGTTATTCCTTAGAATCTCCATAATCACGTGCTCAATTTTCCAATGATTCGGTGCACCTGGTTTGGGGAAAAGTTTTATACATCCTTTGACGCTTTATATGTATAGAATGAATTTTTCGCATCTCCTTAATTTGATTAATTTCAGTTATTGCATTCACTCCCTTCGTTTTATTCATCTCGTAGATCGTCCTCTGATACCTTAACGCGATCCTCGGGATGCAAAAATCCATTTTACGTCCTGAGACGCGTTACCTTTCCTTCTCTTTACATCGACTTAACGATCGTTACTTTACCTTATAATTTCTCGGGCGTTATATCGGGTTTGTCCTCGAATTCTTTCTCCTACTCCTATCTCTCCCGTTTCTTCGCTCGGTCGTTACTTGCTCCGCTTTCGGAATACCCTCGAGCCACCCTCGGTCGAGTTCCCTCGCGTCCGAGCCATTGTTTCTATTGTCTTCATTTTATTTTGTATCCCCGCAACCTCCCGAACGAAAAGTAAGGAAGTATCGATAGTTACGGATTTAATATTACCGCGGCTCGGATTCATTGTTACCTATTTAAAATTCTTGAAATCCTCGACGTTTCTTCCTTCGGTGTAATAAACCTCTTTTGCAATATTTACCTTATTCGTCCCCGATATTATCGGGCGTTGCAATTTTAATATTCACTGGTATATATTGTTAGTACAGTCTCCATATTAATGACGTATAGAGGTATGCTATACTGTCATTTTAATTAATATACACGATATAATATATAACATTAATCGCCTCGTTCCCCTTTTATATCTGCCCTTCGCGAGATCGTTACACGGTTCGCCGGGTCGCAGGCTATTTCCCGTTTAACGTCAAATTCCATCTCCCGTTTCTCAACGGCCGACTTTTCATCTGGTCGTTGCTATTTCACCTTCCGTTCCACTGGCGCGTAATCTCGATTCCTTCTTAGGTGGCAACCTTGGTGGTAAAAGGCTTCCTCGATGTTGGTCAACCTCGAGCCTCCGGCTGGTTTGATTTTCCTTGTTTATCGAGTGGAACTCCCCTTCCACGTAGATAAAGTTCGTAAGCGACTCAAAAAAACATATTAGATCTACCCTCGTTACCTAACTTAACGTCTAATAATTCTCATTAAACCAACAAGTTTTACGTTTATATTTTTTACTTATTACTTTCGTGATTTTATATACATGTCTTCACCCATTATGTACATATTACATTTTCGTCCGGACATTTTCCGACATCGGGACTCGAAATAATTTCCCGTGGTATCGACCATTTCGGTTACGACTCGTGACTCGGATGACAGCTCGAAAAGATAATTCTAATATTCGCGCGAAAAAATATCCGGTTGACACGCCTAAATTCTTTGGTTAATAACGCTTGGTTGGTCGTGCCAGATATTATAATAATTTCGTTAAATTAATCCAAGGCATTCGGTTAAGCGAGTGAAATATATCCTAAAAGTTAACTAAACTATTAATCCATGACACTTTAGTTGATTAAGTCAAGTGAGCTAGAGATCGATCGATCGATCGTACGGTTCTGTTAAATGGACCAATTTTCTCTTCGGCGTCCTCGTTTCCCCTTATCACACCTCCGCTCCGTCGCGTTCTCCAAGTACAAGGCCTTTTCCTCGGTACACGTGCGCTCCGCCGACTCGTGCGCGAACTACCGAGCGGTGGAAATAAAAAAGGAAGTAAAGCAAGGGGGAGGGAGGGGAAAGGACGAAGGAGAAAAGGCGATCGTTCGATTCCGCGGCTAATCCGATTTAAATTAGCCAAGACCGCGATGCGGCCCACTTGAACGGGTGCCATCGAGGGGAGAGGCATTATTCCAGGTTCAGGTGACAATAATTCCCGCCAGTTTACCGTTATATTTGTTCCTGCTCAAAGTCGTTTTAAAAGGACACTGCCAAGAGAGGCGGCCGGGAGTGGGCGCGCGGAGAGGGGAGCGCGGCAGCCGCGGCGGGAGGGGAGGGGAGCCTGGGAGGGGAGGGGAAAGGAGGGAGACCGAACTGACCCTGACTCTTGCGCACGTGTACGCTTACACGCTTTGGCATACACAGTTGTTTAATTTCAAGGTCGCCGGCTCGCACGAGTCACGAAGTCGCCTCGAGTTCCCGAAGACCTCTCTCTCTCTCTCCCTCGCGAGATGCGAGATGGAACGATTTGCTGATTTTTAATTCTTGAAGAAGAACTAATTGCTTTGTCCCTAGTTGAATTTTCCTGATTATGTTAGGAAATATGGACCATCGCCTGGATTTCCTGAAAGCCACTCTCTAACGTGATACCACCCAAGGACAGTCATTCCCGTCATCTTCGAAGAATGGCGATTACTTATTTAGTTACTTACCTGAATTTTCCCTGTTACGCTCTGTAACAATTATCCCACTCGTATTTCACGATTAATATTAAATGAAGTACTTCAATCGTATAAAGACTCCTGTTTGATCTATCTTTTATCGCTGAATGCGAAGTACACTAGTAGGTACCTAAGAATCATCGTTTCGATTTTCCGAAGACTTACTTCGCGTGAAATGAGAAGCGAGACCTCGTTGGTTAAGCGTGACGATTGTTTTTTTTTCTTTTCTTTTTTTTTTACTCAAGGTTTTTTCTCGGTTATGCCAAGCAGGAAAAACGACGAAGAGCGCGATATCAGCTCGACTAGTTTAGGGTTAAATTCTTCTCGAATTGAGTCTTGCACTTAGTCTTAGCTTAGATTAAGTTAGTTTCCACGGGATAGACTCTGACGTGGTGTCGCATTTGAAGGTCTTGTGTGCACAGGTGAAGGTGGTTAAGTTCAGCTACATGTGGACGATAAACAACTTCAGCTTCTGCCGGGAGGAAATGGGCGAGGTTCTCAAGTCCTCCACCTTTTCAGCCGGGGCCAACGACAAACTCAAGTGGTACGTATTTGCACGGAGACTGCACCCGGATGCACTAATCGATTTATCCGAGATATTGGATATATTCGATCCCTCGAAATCAGGCAACCTCGGGGTCGTGGAATCGACTAGTTGACGATATTTCTTATCACCGTTTGCCCTCCTGAAATGTTACGCAAAAGTGACCGGACGATTGTCGAACGAGCGGTGATAAGCCGCGGAAATAAACCTTGAATCATTTTGAAGGACTGGTGATAAGATGCGGTTGAATGAAAACTATACAGGATAAGGTTGTCCGTAATTGGAGAATTTATCGTAAAACTATCCTTTTCATATTTGGGATTGTCGATTTTCGTCAAACTCAACGTAAGATAAAGTAAGCTGGAGGTAATCTTCTTATCAATGTGACAAATGCGTTTCTTTCCAGGTGCCTAAGAGTAAATCCTAAGGGTTTGGACGAGGAAAGCAAAGACTACCTGTCTCTTTATCTACTTCTCGTTTCGTGCAACAAATCCGAAGTCAGAGCAAAGTTCAAATTTTCTATTCTTAATGCCAAAAGGGAAGAAACCAAAGCTATGGGTGAGTAGGCGAGGATCTTTACTCCGGAAGTTTATCGCAATTACTCAAGTAGTTCGACTAGTACCAAAGGAATATATTTTTAATTCCAGACCTCTTTATAATAATTAAATGTTCCTTAGTAGGACATGACGAACGTACTTTATTTCCCTTTTCAGAGAGCCAACGAGCGTATAGGTTCGTCCAAGGGAAGGATTGGGGGTTCAAGAAATTCATCCGAAGAGACTTCCTCCTTGACGAAGCCAACGGACTTCTGCCAGACGACAAACTCACGATATTCTGTGAGGTATATACATTTGTATGTTGTTGTTATATTCATTTGTTATCCACTACTCACGTGGTCGTCGACGGACGATGCCTAATCCCAAGTTACCACTCAGGTCAGCGTCGTGGCGGACAGCGTTAACATTTCCGGACAAAGTAACACGATACAGTTCAAGGTGCCGGAATGTCGACTGCCCGATGATCTTGGACTGCTATTCGAAAACCAAAAATTTAGCGACGTCACGCTTACCGTCTGCGGCAGGGAGTTCCAAGCGCACAAAGCGATACTTGCCGGTAAGTTAGTCCCGTTGTTACATTTTTTTTCTCGAAGGGATTTTAAAGAATTTAAGGGGACGTGAAAGCGGCGTCACTCGTTTATGAAACTTGTCTCCGAACTGGGTGAATCGTTTGGAAATTTCCCACGTGAATATGATCTCCCTAAGGAAGGTCCTAACACCCTGACAATATCATTTTTTTTTATACAGTGTTTTCAAATAAATAGAGGCCGGGACTTTGTTCGGGCCTCCACTTGTATGTGATAAAATTTCAAACGATTCCGTACACAGTTCGGAGAAAAGTTTCATGAACAATTGATTCCTCAGATGCCACTTTCACATCCCCTTAAGGGGGGTCGAAGTTCTTGGTAGTATTCCGAGAGATTGGAAACGTCAGATAATTTTGTTCCTTAATCTCGACCTGAATCCGTTCTAAGGGACATTGAGTTTCTCGAGTCCCGACCCCTGGCAATCTGATTGATATTAATTGGGACGTTTTAGCGCGGAGTCCGGTGTTCTCCGCGATGTTCGAGCACGAGATGGAGGAGAGGAAGCAGAACAGAGTGGACATCACGGACGTGGACCACGAGGTCCTGCGGGAGATGCTGCGGTTCATCTACACGGGCAAGGCCACAAACCTGGAGAAGATGGCGGACGATCTCCTGGCAGCGGCGGACAAGTACGCCCTGGAGAGGCTCAAAGTAATGTGCGAGGAGGCTCTCTGTACGAGTCTGTCCATCGAGAACGCCGCAGAAATCCTGATACTTGCCGATCTCCATAGTGCCGACCAGTTGAAGGCACAAGCCATAGACTTCATTAACACGTAAGCAAAGGCTGATTCGACCGTAAATTCTTCCTTCACCACTTTTATCCGAACTGGATGTATCGAATCGCTTGGAACGTCACCACGTGAATATGGAGGCCCTAGGGAAGGCCCTGACATCCATAAAATGTAATTTTCTCGTAACATTCACTCTGTAAAGTTTGAAACGATTCGGTACACCCAGTTCGAAGAAAATGTCACAAACGAGACCTCTTTGACGCCACTTTCGCATCGCCTTAAGCCGAGACCTCGCCTCGCGGGTGCAAAGGATGCGAAGGATGACCAGAATTTGTTGGAATCCACAGACACGCGACGGACGTGATGGACACGGCGGGGTTCAAGTCGATGGTGAACTCCCATCCGCACCTGATAGCGGAGGCTTTCCGCGCCCTGGCGACCCAGCAGATACCGCCTATCGGTCCGCCGAGGAAGCGAGTTAAGCAGAGCTGAAAGCAGTCACCCCTGATCCCGGGCACGACCACATCGCCCCCGCCCCTCTTGCATCCCTCATGACTTTGTGTACAGTGAAAGAGCAGTGCTAAATAAATGTTTCCTAGTGCGCCACCTTCTGGTCCGCTTCGGAGAGCGAGATGGCGAGGCGGAGGAGGAAAGCGACCTCTTCGGAGGAGGGTCGAAACCAAGAAGAAAAGGCTGGAAGAAGATGCGAGGAGAACCAGGAGACGACCGCGCAGCCTCCTTCGCGCACAGTCGGGAGAAAAGACGCAGCAGGAAAAAGAGGGACCGTTGGTCTCTCTGCGATCTTTCGGAAAAAGGGAGAAGACGGCCAGTAGGTTCGCAGGGCGCACCCATACACGCCAGACTCTTGTGTTCAGTGAGTGTCGGTGGCCGAAGGACCGTGGCGAGAGGGTAGCCTGACACACATATCCACCAGCGGGCTCGTCCGCCCCCGCGCGACCGCCCCAGGGCTCGTCTTCAGGGTGTCCGGCCAGGAGAAGAGGAGAGACGAGAGAAAGACCTCGAGCTCGAGTTCCGGATATGGAGGGAGACGGAGAGGACCGAGCGGGGCTCCCTTGGCCGGTCGTCGCGGGGGACGAGAGGACCGGAAGTTGTGATAAAAGAGGACGCCGCGGCCGTGGACGATTTTGGAAGAAGGTGATGATGATTTTGGTTCCTTTGCGGATCGAGCGGTGCCCTCCGACGCGCACGAGGCCGGGGCGAGGGCCCCGTCGATTTTCCCCCCCGGGCCCGACAGGGGAGTTAGATACTTTGTTTATTACCGATATAGTGATTTTTAATTGTAAAACGCCGAGTCGAGATAATGGTATAAACTCTTCCAGAGACGCGGAGACACGAAATGATTCTAGTTAGCGTTTTTTATGATCTCTTTCTCTCAATATGTATAACTATTACCTATGGTTACGATTAATACTACGCGCAATCTGTGCCCCCTGTATTTTTGTATATTTTGTCTGCAGATCAAGTAAGTCTTTCCTCCCACCCTCCTCACCTTAGTCCCTTCCTTGATTTTTTGGATTTCTTTCGACACCCGACCCCCCCTCTTGTTCTCCGGCACAGTTTGTCACTTTCGTTCCTTCCCCCTTGTTTCTCCCCCCACCTCGTATTTTTCTTCGTTTTTTCGTCTCTCGACTGCATTGCGTGCGTAGTGAGTAAACAAAAAGTGATAGAATTCGAATTATTGTTGTATTAAATTTAGGGTTGTCCATAATTTATCCGAGGTTTTCGTTGTTCCGAGAGGAGAGACCAAGAAAGTGAGAGCGTGAGAGAGAGAGAGAACACGTGACACCCGTCGCGACGTCCGCGGGGACGCAGGAAAGAGTGCTAGGGGTAGAGAGAAAGAGAGATCGAGAAAATGGGAAGAAAATTGGGCGCGATCAGCCTTTGCCGCGTTGGCGCCATTTTGGGGGTTAAAAAAAGAAAAAGATGAGAAAACAGTTGATCCACCGACGGGCGTCGCCCGTCGACTCGCCCCGAAGTTTTCGGGCAAGGCGGAGAGGTCGAATAAATTGTATAAATAAACGTTAGTCAATTACATGGTATGGAAATATTAATCGTTTCTTGTGTAACTAATTAATTGAACTCGCAGAGCGGAAAAGGTCGCGTGGTCGAGTGTCTATCTGAATTATGGACAACCGGATGGCAACCGATAATCACCGTTTAGTACTGTACTGGCTTCCTGATCCTCCGATCTAGTTTTACCGAACGTTTTAAATATATTAGGTACACCTACGATTACACTAACGACGAAGATCAATGCCATACATGTTCTGTGATAAGTCCGTTGTAAACTACTTGGACCGTATTCCTCCGACCACGAGAACCCAAACCAGGAACCGACCCCTCCCGGAGCAGCACCTTGCCGAACCCGTGACCCCATGACCCCCCATGACCCATCCCATGCACCCCGAGCCGGCGATTGAACTTGATTCTCGTCTAGAGACGACGCGCGCATACCTATTATACTTATACTGTGTACATATTGGGCACCCCGCGCCCGGAACGGCGGCCGACTCGAGGACGACCGAGCTACGTTTACGCTGTATTCCACACACTGTACATATCCGCCGATGTTTTGTATAAAAGAGCGCGCGTGCGTCGAGCTCGCTCGCTTTTTTTCCCCGAGCGACACCGCGAACCGACCCCGTAAACGAGCAAGCTCCGATTTCTCCTCTCCTTCTTCCGGCCGCGCCGCTCCTCGACGACGTCGTCGGCGTCGCTTGGACGCGAAGGGCCGCGACGAGGCCGGGAGCGTTTTCCACTTTTTTCTAAAGGGCTTCAGCTTTGCCAAACTAAGAGTCGTGTCGCGTCTAGGCGCGAGGAGCGGCGCGTCGTTTCCGGTTGGGCGGAAAGTTCTCTTACGGTTTTTTCTCGCTTAACCCCTTGCGCTATTGTCTATGATCCGGTGCCACTGAAATCATCTTGGAACGCGTATGCCATTTAATTTTAAAGATGGCGACGAAAGAGAGAAAAAATCCCGGGGACACTGATCTGTATGCTAGGGTGATGCATAAGTAATGGCGTTACGTGTTAAAAACGCCATTAGCCATTACTTTATGCATCAACCTAATATTTACTCCATACGGAGAGGTGTGCGACGAATTCGAGGAACACCACCAGCGAATTTGGGCAGGGATACCAGGGCACTGCAGCTCCCTCTGCGCATGTGCAGCTTACTATGGGCCTGCAAAAGTGGCGTCTGAGAACTCAATCGTATATGAAGCTTTTCTCCTAACTGTATGTACCGAATCGTTTAGAATTTTACCACGCGAACATGTCGGCCCGAAGAAATGTCTTGAAACCTACGAAATTTCACATTTTCGTTTATAAGGATTTAATTTGTTTAAAAAAAAAAAAAAATAATAATTAAATACCACGAACGGTGGGACCTTCCTTAGGTGTCCTCCACAGTCACGTGGGTAAATAGTAGACGATTCGGTAACACCTAATTCTAAGAGAAGCGTCATAAACGATCGACCTCTCGAGTGCCGCTCTCGTGTCACCTTGAAGCAGGAAATTCCGCATTAACTTTCCGCCCAACCAAACGTACCGTCTGATCAGCTCGAGCTGCCCAGCTTTCGCCGAGCCGGGCCGAGGCGGTGCCTCCCGTGGAAAAGAAAAACCATTGTACCGTGTCCGAACGTGTCTCTTTCCTAAGGGCTAATCGCTCCGTCCGGGCGACGCGACTCGCCCCGGGCGGCCTCCCGCAACAAAAGCAATATCTGCAGCAAGAATATATGAGCGTATGACTGGATAATTTGATAAAACTAAGTACAAGTAAGACAAGTGTTACCTCATGCGAAAGCCGGAGCTGCCGTGACCGACCGGGCCCGTCGCCACATCCGTCGTCGGGGTCCTGCACCCTGTACACCCCCTTTGCGATGTTGCATTTAAACACCCTCTCGACGCGCCCGACGACGGGGGGCGGTCGGTGGCCAAGGGGTGCACGGGGCCGCCGCGAGTCGATCCCAGCTCATACGAACGTTCATTTTTTTTTGTCTCCATTTACTTTAAGTCATTGCACCACATCAAATAAATTACATTTTCATTATATAACGTCCGAGGTGTACGTGTACTTCTCTCAGACCGATATCCTGTTTTCAGAACGCCTTAACGCCTGCTCACGTCGTCAACGCGAACGGTCATTGCAGTTCTCAGGACGTGAATCTCTGGGACTTCGCGATGTGCAGGTAAGTTCTAGAACGCTGCATGAAGGCGAAGTGAAACCTCATGTCAGTCGATTACAATAAGACAGGTTTTTTTTTTAAGGGTATTGGACCAAACCGGCTGAAACATCCCTTCACTTGTAAGCACCTAAGAATTATCCTGACACTTTCTAAATTTCGATTTCCGAAACGAGATGGGTTCACTTAGCCTAGGCTAGAACCAAAATGACGTCGAGCTCTCGTATTTCGATCAACATGTAAGATGTACAAGACAATCAATATAAATGAGAAACGAAAGTGTCAGGACAATTGTACAACGATTAAGAGCACTCTGGTAAAGACAATTTAGTTGGCATTGAAATCACAGATGGCGTGGGGTGGGGCTCTGCAATCAATTAGGGCGTCAAGAACCATGAATCCAGGGGATTTCGAGGGTTTTACTTTGACGCGTCAGTGTCACGTACCATTGTTTAAAATGCGGATTGATAAAGACGCTGTTTCGTTTCCGCAGGCTCTATCTTTCTGGCCAAGATGACCCTTTATATCTTGGTAGCGCTTCTGGCGATCCGAGCGAACCCACGATAAATTTGGCGTCACGGTGTATTGAATCGACCCAATGGGAGAGATTTCCTCCTTGATTTACTGTCATATGTGGTTGACAACTCGATATTGCCGGGAGTGGTTTGCTTCTTCCGACGAACACGTTCTCGTGGCTGCAGAAATCACGGCTATGTCGCTTGTATCCTGAATTCCTGGATACATCGGCGGAGCTTCGAACGTTACGCTTTGCTGGGATTTAATAGGCAATTATCACTTGACGGTCTTACAGATGTCCGATCTATTATTCGAAAAGGAATGCACTTACGTAACTGTCGGTGTCGGCGTCGTACGGGGGCGGGGGGTCGTAAATATCCATGTAACGAGGAGGTCTGTCTCGTAACCTCTCCAGGATGTACCGTTGCATAGATGTTACGCTGGTGTTCCCGTCTTGTCCCACTCTCAGAAGAGACGCTGATCGCTCCGCTCGTAATTTTCTAATAAACCTGACATAAACCAAGCATTATTGCTAGGCGAAGAGAAAAGAAATTCACGGGTCGAATGGATATTTAACTGGCTGTTCTTAAGAAAATGAGATCAAATGACATTAAGGGGATGTCAAAGTGGCATCCGAAGATCGTTCATGGAACTTCTATCCGAACTGGGAGTACCGAGTCGTTTCAAATTTTACAACGTTAATGTAGAGGCTACTAAGAAGGCCCTGATACTCGTGGAATTTCATTTCTTATATAAAATGTTAAACATACCTGTAAATAAATTTTAAAACAATTGCAATTTCATGAGCGTCGGGACCTTCCTTACAGTCTCTGTATTCACATTGCAAAGCTCAAAACGATTCGGTGAATCCAGTTCGGAGAAAGGTTTCATAAACAAATCCTCTTCGACGCCACTTGCGAGAAATACCATGTTGCGTTTGAATGGATCGTGGATATCCGATTCTCTCTTAACACCTTATTAATCATTCATAAAACGGAATAACTGCTTGCATACTTTGGACGTACCTTATGCAGATTCTAAAAAGCAGAAGAAGTATCGCAATAACGCTGATTAGAAGTACACTCGACAAACCAACCTGGGCCACGGTTAAAATCTGCCATTCGGTTTCCCTGAAATTCAACAATATTGATATCAATTGATCGACTCGATCAGCAACATCATTGACAATGCCGATGATCTCGGTACAAGCCGGAAAAAGTAAATCGTGAACGAGACTTGATAAAAAGAAATCGATTACCTGCATATGCTACACGTGTGGCAATAACAGCATTGTACTTCGGGAGACAAGCAACAAACCGTGCATCTTGTATCTGCAATTTGTAATTTGAGAGATTGCTTAATTAGTCCGATATTTACCCTGAGAAAACAACGAATCATTGGAACCTAAGAAATATTGTATCCAATTTATTCGGGTTTATTTGAATCAAAGAATTATTCTTTTAATTGATATCATATTCCTTTGGTACTGTTCAAAGAAATATTTCCTTGGTTCAGTGATATTTTCTTCTCGGTGTACAAAATAATTATGTCAGGAAATCACTGTTACTCGCCAGTACAATCGACGCAGGAACATTTCGAGCTGTTTTTTATGCCAATCGTGCAATTTTCGGTTTCCTTGCTTTCGGAATATATCGTGGAACTTATTCCATAGACGTCTACACTCCACATCGACACATCGTCGAGTTCTGAACCTGCGGAAAGCTACATTAAGAGACTCCGTTTACCTTCTTTCGAAATTTAAATCCGGCATGTTTGTGTTAACAAACTGGCGTTGCAAATGCGGTAAGAAGACTGAAATAGAATGGAATCGGAAATTGTTGTTTCAGTGAATTTTTCCTTCTTTTTCCCTTCCTTCCCTGATTTTTCCTGTGCCTCTTATTCCACTGGCCATAAAAGAAAAAAAAAAGACCCATTCAGTCTCCATAAAGTGGAATTTATTCAAATAAGTTTCAAAAAGGATTCCACGCAATGTAATACACATGTTTCTTTCAAGGAACTGGAAGAAATTAAAGAAACCTATATAATGCAATCCTCTTAAAGTGATAGAAAGCAATTTAGTGCGGATATTCTTTGCCGGAACGGAAAGAAATTAAACAAAGTTGAGATCTATTCTTCTTCATGGAATTTAACGTAAATTAGAATACACAGCGTGAATGAAATATAATTAAGACTTACAGGAAATTCCCTCTTGTCTTGAATTAGGCTTGTTGGAAAAATCAGATATTAAATTGATACGAAAAATCACACCTTTTACGTAGAAACTAAACGTTTAATCCTATTCTATTTGAGTCTTCTTACCAGGGAGGTATGTTTGATTTGACAGAACTTTCGTGACGTTCACAGCAATCGAGCGATCGGGTGTGACTAACTTTGACGGTCTCGCGATAAGATCCGATCCGTGATAAAGGCAGGTACATGATAATGACTGATAACTTGTCTTGCAAGAGTGAGACGATAGAACGATCTGAACGATATTAAAAACAATGCATTTAGAAGTGGTCTAGCGATTCTAAAATAGACAATGGGTGCTAAAGGGAACATGCGATCTGCGATGTTATCTTGATCGAAAGACGTTTAGGTACTTTAAATTTAATATGAAATTTTCCAGCTGATAGTGAACGCACCCGCTTCGCTCGTTGGCTTCAGTATGAGACACGTCCACAGAAATCCGTAAGTATACAGTCTCATTGTACCAGGTGATGATGGACGTCGACAAGTGGCAAAGTCTCGGTGCGAGCAAGGTCTTGTTTGCCGAGTATGGAGATTAAGAAGATGGGGAAAAAAAAATCGGTGACTGACTGATCCTTAATCAGACATGCCGCTCCACCAGTGCTCGCTCGATACTGCGACGAACGCTGATAATTCAAAAGTTAAAGAGGAAAGAGTCCAAATTGATTATATCTTAATGGCGGGCGACATTACCGACATCCATATTCTTGAAATTGGAACATACGTTACCTTATTTACTTCTGTGATAGAGCGAGAAGAGCCTACTTGTAATTGACATTGCGTAAGCTACCACACATAGTCACATCCTGCTTTTTCGACTGTTTGTAAACTGGCTGTGACCTTGCTTCGTTTAAAGCTTACTTGTATTATACCGACGCGACATTTTTGACTGAAAATCTGAGCTATGGAATACGAGAGACCTAATGAAATGGGGACAAGAAATGCAGCCGTTAGTTTTTGGCATGTTTCTTAATTTATGTTAATAAATATTCATAACCAAAACTCCTTTTACAAGTTTGCACTGTCTTTGTAATTTACAATGTGACGAACGGAGTCACGTTAGTCTCGTACTTTTAATTTGTCAATGTGATAAGTGCTTCTACGACATCTCCACTGTGCTCCCTGAGCGTTTGCTCCGCAAGGTTCCGACTTATCTCCATCTCTTTCATCTGAAATTACAGTGAAACAATTAACAGATAGTGTCCTTGAAATATGCAGTAAAAGCTCAAGAATTACTTATTCATTCAAACTTACGATGAGATCGACGTCTTCCTTCTTAATCGATACCTTGAGCAGTTCCTTCTCTTTTGCCTTTTTCTCCGCAGCTTCTTTATTCCGTCGATCTCCAATTATACTTAAAGCCTGAAAAGGTTATATCACGTTTCGTCACAATGTAAAAACAACGACTAATAATTAAACTGACAAATTACACCTAGTAGAGACATAAGTAGCTTATAGGTTATGTTTATACATTGGATAACCTCAGATATTGTTTACAAATATAACATTTACACTCCTGACATTCCAGAAACAGATAAGTTAAAAATCGGAGATTATACGATGTGTCGAGGGTGTGTACCCTTTTTATTTAGACATTTTAAAAATATCACAAGCACGTGGACAAGGGCGTCGAACTCACGCAAGAGAACCCATCGGAAGAAGATATTTCTTTTTCCTCCGCATAATCCGTGACCCTTTCTAAATCGGCAGCCCCGCTGTCATATTTTGCTACTTTCTTCTGTGACTTTTCTTGCTGCACTTCATCGGAGTCACCGTTGACATCCTCATCCGCCATTTTTTGTCCTGTTTAAAATAGTTTAAAACACTTGTTTGCCAAGCAAAACCAAAGAATACAGAAGCCTCCATAGAAGCCCAGTTCCGTATTGTCGCTGGATACCCAATAAATAGTAACCAAGCGGGACGCTAGATGACAGCACGGGAGAATTAAGGCAGAGCGATTAAGGGGTGATTGGACGAACACGGGAACGTCGCATCATGTGCTGCCCTCTGGTTTTGTACGTTAGCTTTTTCCCAACTCATCTCTGCTCTTCTATGGGAGCGATGAGTTGGTCTGTAGAGACTTCTGTATTATTTGATCGGGTATAGGCAGGTATAGGCCTGTCATCGTTTTCAAGCCTCGTTTAAGGGAATTAAAAGTTTTGAATCAGAAATCATAACAAAATGGTAAGTGTGCTGCAAGAATATTTTTTTTTTAAGGACAGTTTTATTTTAAAGTGATATCTTTAAGGCTTTTCTCCATTTTTACAATGAAGCAGTGGAATGAAAAGTATTTTTAGGTTATGATGGAAATGCATTGTCATTGAGGTATAACTTAGCAGGTTTTAACAATTTATTTTAATGAATGTAGATGTTGTTATCAGCAGAATAATATTGTACGACACACTTGACGTGCAAAGAATTCTCTATGAATGTAGTTTTATAAATTAAATGTTTTTACTGTACGTCTACTATAAGGTACTTAATTCTTTCCTATTTTAGGCACGGCGTTATGATACCCGTACTACCATTTTCTCACCTGAGGGGCGATTGTATCAAGTGGAATATGCTATGGAAGCCATAAGTCATGCCGGTACTTGCTTAGGAATCTTGGCAAATGATGGTATCCTATTGGCTGCAGAACGCCGCAATACCAATAAGTTATTGGATGAAGTCTTTTTCTCTGAAAAGATCTATAAATTGAACGATGATGTAGTTTGTTCTGTTGCGGGTATTACTTCGGATGCTAATGTGCTTATAAATGAGTTACGGTTAATTGGACAACGATATCTCTTACAATATGGAGAAACAATTCCATGTGAACAGCTTGTGTCATGGTTATGTGATGTCAAACAAGCATATACACAGTATGGTGGAAAGAGGCCATTTGGAGTATCTATCCTATACATGGGTTGGGATCGACATTATGGTTATCAATTATATCAGTCGGATCCAAGTGGCAATTACGGAGGCTGGAAAGCAACGTGCATAGGTAATAATTCTGGTGCCGCGGTTTCTTCATTGAAACAGGAATACAAGGAAGGTGAAACTACATTGAAAGATGCAATGGCTCTTGCGATTAAAGTTCTATCTAAGACCCTTGATATGAACAAATTATCTGCTGACAAAGGTGAGCTATGGGTGTATAGTATGTTATACTCTCGAGTAATTTTTAATTTGAATTTTATTTCAGTGGAAATGGCCACATTAACTCGAGAAAATGGCAAGACAAAAACTAGGATTTTATCTCCTAAAGAAGTTGAGGCACTCATCGCTGAACACGAACGTCTAGAAGCCCTTGCCGAGCAAGCCAAGAAAGAAAAGCAGAAGTTGTAAATTTTTAAGGTGATTTGGTAAATAGAGACTTACTGGAATCAGTTTTGAAATTCTAACATGAAATCATATGAATATAAGTTAATAAATTTCTTAATTTTCAGTCGATTTTTATAAGAATTGTTTCCTTCACTCAAAGCAAGGTTAACAGCTAAACAAGCAGAAAGCAAGATTTCTGGTGTAGTAGAACTTACTATAAGATCATGCAAGTTTGCTTCGTATGATAAAGAGATCCTGCTGGAATAAAAAATGACATATGAATTTTGAAACGTGTTGAATCATGTCAAATACGAGTACATTCGGAAATTGAATTCCTGTGTTTCCTTTCTATCTTGTTCAATTCGAAACTAGATTTTAAACAGCACCCATATGATATTAGAGTCTTAGAAAAATATGAACACATTCATTGGTTAAATTTTTTACAATATAACTTTATTTCTAACATGATTCTGTAGATAAGGCAAAATGAGGTTTTAAATAAAAAGTTGCAGTTTTCTAACTTTTAACACGCAATAACTTTATACCTATAGATGAGTTAATGGTTTACTAAACTATATATACTAATACAGTATTCCTTTCATATTTTTAGAAAATTCAGTTGGTTAATGATTCGTGTACAATTAATATATACCCCTAAGTAATTTCATTTATACTTAAGATCTTCGTCCAAGTAACTCGTACAAGCGTTTTAAAAGTTGCTCCATACCTTTTTGGTTCCTGAAGTTTAATTTACATTTCTCAAGTTTCATAGCTAGTAATTCTGGGTTGACTTTTCCCAATTCCATCAGTGCATCTGAAAATTAGAATTTAATATCAGTGGTTACATAAATACGTACTAGTAATAACAGAAGTTTTTTTTACCTAGTATCAATTTCTGAAAGTTTTCATCGGGATCATCCAGATGGACAATAGCAGTCGTGTAGAGATGATCAACATGACCTCTGTTGAATTCTAGGTCGTAGTTTTTAGGAGTGCTCTTCCAGACTTGACTGAGAGCTTCTACAGCTGCACATCGAACAAAGTCAGCTCCGTCATCAAGTCTTTTCAAAATAACAGGGTACGTCTTGTGAATATGTTCTTCCGTAACACATTCCAATTTCTGTCCTACTTCCATGAGTAACCAAATAGCTTTTAGTGAGTAAAGCCTAGTCTTCTTCGCATTGTCATCAACAAGTGTTACCAAGATAGGCATGATTTTTTCAAAGATATAAGAGAAGCGATCCGCATCTGGAAATAACCTAACTTGTTCCTCCTCCATGTTTCCAGAGCTCACTTCACATTCTCCTTCTTTTCCCTCTGTGCCTGCTTTATTTGCAACTAATGAAAAAACAAAGTTTTACAATTAATTAACATTTGCTAATTTAATGAGATATCTCTAACAAAACGTACTTCATTTTTTCCTACGCTTCTCTCCATACCTGCTTTACTTGCACATAATGAAAATGACAGTTTTACAGTTAAATTATATTACTTAATTTAACTAAATATCTGTAATTGTATAGCAGGATGAATGAAGTTAAGAATAATAAGAATAAAATAACAGTGCTCATTCATTTTTAGATTACCTATTCCTGTTTCTCCGATCTCAGTGTCATTGAGAAGTGCACATAGGCATGCAACGGCAGCTGTTCTAATAACTTCTGCAGCTCTGCCAGCTGACCAGACTAGACCTTGCATTATAGTTTTCTCAAGAATCTCGTCAACAAATTCCGTAAGATTTTCCATGCTTCGAAGCGACTCATCTCTACGTATCAGGAAGTCTGAGAGTAAGAAGAATTGTTTCAGCCTGACTTCAGGATCTGCGTCATTGCTCGTCGTTTCTGTCAGAATGGGAAGCACTAGGTCTGAATTATTAGCGGATGCGCGACTAGCTTTGTTAAGGCAAGTTTGGAAAATTTTGAACTCTTCGCTATGCATCGTCCATGACTGACAAGTAGGTCGAATATTCATAAGAAGAGGCCTCAAGTGACAGGAAAAAAGTTCTTCCAAATTGTCAAGTTTTTCCACAAGCACGAGAGCCTCCAAAAGTCTCTTCGCTTCCTTTTGTATCATCTCTTCTGTTGTCATCGACAGCACTGTAAATATTACTGTAAAAAGATCCTGGGCAATCGACGAACAATTCTGAAACATTGGAAGAACTTGATTTAAAATAGTTTAGAGGGAAAAAAAGCAAAATTTGGGGATTATTGAAATAATTGTATGGGAATAACGTACCTCTCCGCAAACGGAGATAAGCGATTCGCAACAATGTAGCATTTGCTCTTGGTAGGACACTTTCCTACTTTGACATATATGGCTTTGTTGAAGAAAGTCACCGATCTTCTCCAATTTTGGTAACAGAGCTTTTTTCTGACTCGTGCTTAAAATTGCTGCGAAAACTCTTAGATGTCCAGAAGTAGGTGTCTCCTCGAGTGTTGGTACAACCAGGTGGTAATAAATATCCGGCGGCACAAAGTATCCCATGTACTCTGCGGCAAGTTCTATATTTTGTACAACCCTCTTGTCTTCATCGTTGCAAGCTCTTTGTAAAAGTGTTAGACCGTTATACATAATAAATGACGTTTGAAATTCGATGAAAAATTATAACATACATAATTTTATATACATTGTTTCAAATAGATTAAATTATTTCATATGAAAACAGAGTCTCAAATTTACCTGTACATGGCAGGCAATAGTTTTTCAATATGTTGAGTAACGTGTTCCTCTATATTTAATACGAGCACGCAAAGAAGCTGAGCTGAGCGGACCTTTATATCAGCCATCCAATCTTCTAGCTCTCGAACAATTCCACCGACCAGTTTGCACATATTTTGCTGAGCTATTACTCTACATCCAAGATTCGACCTCTTAACTGTTAAAATTTATAATGATTTAAAGAGAAGTTTAAATATACAGGCAATCCTAGCCACATCGATGCACACTAATTCTTACTATTAGATGGATAATGTTCAAGGTCGTTTGTCAAGTAATCCATTTTATCCTTTAATTTCTCATCGGATTCATTTTCGACCAAGTACTTTTTCCCTGCTGAGTCCCAAAGTTCACTGGCTCTGTTCCGGATGAGTTCGATCTCATCATGGAGCCCCGTAAGAAGCAGGGGAATAAGTTTGTGCCACCAACTGTATCGATCTCTCAAATCAAGAAACCATTGTCCTGCCACTTCGATGACAGCTGTAGAAAGTAATAGACATTTATTATAATAACAAATCATACTAATCACCTGGATTTGCATATGCTTCACTTTAAATACCTGCTCTGACAGCACTGCTCTGATCAAACAGCCTTTCAGCCATCGGCGTAGCAACATCTTCGATAGTTTTATTATTTCCACATTGAACTGCAACTCCAATGGCCTTTACCGAAGCTACTCTAACTTTATAATGTTGATGCGTAAAATTGCTTAAAATAGGTTTGATTAATTTCTCAGAACGAGAATAGAAATCCTTAGTGGTCAGTGTGGCCAGTTCTGCGATGCCCTCGCAACTTTCTTTCTTTACATTTGGATAACTGTCTGTGACGGTCTTTGCCAAAATTGCGACTACGTCATCCATATAGGCTGATAAATGATTTTTGTAGTTACGAATAATAATCCGAAGCAGCGAGACTGCATTCAGCCTGACTTCTTCCGATGACTCGATGAGTTCTTGCGAAGCCAACCGTCTTGTCAGGATTGGAATGACATAAATCAGGTTTTTGTCGTCTACAGGAAGCACTTCCAAAAAACTCTTCAGAATGTTAATTGTCGAATCTCTGCAACCCTCCACGTTGTCGTTCAGCAATCGAACTACCTGTCTGTGAATGGTGTTCCAAATTTCAAATAACTCCTCTTCCGACAGGTTTCTTTCATCGATAAACTTTCTGATATCTTCCAATGCTGTTCGTCTTCGTCCTTTGTTCTCTGCTTCCAGTGAAACACATATTCTATTTAGCTGAAGCTCTTCATTCATCGACATTTTGGATCACAATTTCAATTACAACTTTTCCAGCTATCGTTTAACGTTAAATACATTCATTCAGCAAACTGTAAATTATAATAAATCGTTAGTGTGAACAAATCTAAGCAGTTATTTCCCGTTACTGCAGAAACATGAATTGATTTACCCTTATTTATTTGAACCACTAAAAGCTTACCTTTCACTCTTTGCTCATTGATCCCTTTGTTACCATGGAAATCTGTTATTCAATTTATAACTGTCTGTTCCTTTGACAGCAAAATAGGTATTTCAATATTAATTCATAGTAGCTTTTCACTGATGATAATCCAGTTCTTTTGTAATTGCAGTCCATATAAATATTGCTATGGCAAAATCGGTCACTGCATATGAGAAACCGATTCCACATATTGGTATGTGAAAGTTAAATCTTGACGTATTCTAAGAAAAATTATAAAATTAGATATTAATCAGAAGAGGATATAAAAGAACAATGATTTAAATGTGATTGTGAATAAATAATAATTTGAGGGGAAAATACCATAAAGGGCAAAATTAATAAAAGGGAATTTGTCGATGGCATTTAAAAATAGAAATTCTTTCGTTTTATAAGGTTTACCTGATTGGTATGCAAAGCAATGGGAAATCCAGCAGACAGCAGATACCAGAAGAGGAGATGCTTTAGACCTCCGTAACTCAGGCAGGCTTATTCGTGCGGAGACCAGAATAAGAACCGAATGGGATACGTACATGAATAATGCCAGACTCTCTGACAGGTATCTCCATTATATGCAGAAAGATTTTCATTCTCCTACTGTTATTCAATAGTAATTCGTTAATAAATATCAATAAGTCTCTTTGGCTTTCAGGACGACTGAGCTGTCAAGGTGGCGAGAACTCTTTGAAGCCCACTTAGAACATCTGGAATCAGAGATGCGTCATTTAAGAAATGAAAAATGTGAGACAGAAAGGGAATTAGAGAATCTTAACCTGCCTCTACAGGTGACCGCTGAGTGTATTTCCATGAGAGATTGTCGAAGAGGTACGGAGCTCACTTATGACGAGCCTGACATAGAGCTAAAAAAGGAACTTTGCATCCTTGAGGGAGCTAAGAAATTACTAACAGACCGGTATGATCCATAATCAGGTGAAATTAAATCCTTACTGCACAGAGGAATTATTTAAAAAAGATGTCACACCGAGTATATTGATAATAGTCAAAACAAATAAAGTAAAAGCAAAGTATAATGCTTAGTTTTTGTATGAAGGGTACAGGCAGCTTGGGAGAAATTAAATCGTTTAGAAGAAGTCAAGTTTACCCTTGGACTTGATTTGGAAAATAAAATAGAGGCTATCAACATCGATAAAGGAAACTTAAACTTGGATGTCACTTGTGCCGACATCAGTTATAAGCCAAATGCTTTGAGAATTCCGAAGAAGTAAGGATCTTCTTAGCGATACTTAGTAATACTTAGAGTTAATTATATTTATTTTGTAGTGCCATATCTTATGAAGCTTGGTTGGATCACTGTCGGCACGTTAAACATCTGGCTGACAATGAATTGAGTGATACGTATAATTTTCGAGAGGCACTCCAGGTAACAAGACAGAGATCCAGAAATGATATAAAAGCTCAGCAAGACTTGACAGATTTTGCACTTAGGAAAAGAATTTATCAAACGGAGAAAGCTCGCAATGAGCAAGCTTGGCAGAAGCTTAAGGTGCTTAGATATATGAAAATGATGAAATAGTAATTCATTGTTAAGTAATTGCCTACTAAATTACAACAAGCCTCTTAATTTTATGTAAACAATTCATTACAAAATTTAAGCTAAAAATGTTACACATTAACTAAAGTTTTTCTTTTCAGACTAATAAAGAAATGGAGGAATTACTAAAAGAATTAAAGCAACTAGAAGATGCTCTGAATGCAAAGATTGCTGCAGTGAAATGTGCCGAAACTAGACTGGAAAACCGTATTCACAGACCTGGTTATGAATTATGCCAGGATGAACCTGAGCTTGGTTTGAAAAACGAAGTTTTACAATTACAACAAACAAAAGAAGACTTGCTGAACAAAATAAACTGCACCAAGTATGTTTTACTGTTTCAAATTCATTCGTATTCAGCGAGATCGTTGAATTGCAATTTTTATCTTTTCTACAGAGCAACATTTAATGGTCTAGAGGCATTATTGATCCGCATTGAAAAAAACTTAGATGACAAGGAACATTCACTAATGACCGATGTGATGTGCTTGGACATGAGAGCTAGGCTAAAAACTGGTGATCGTACTAAACTGCCTAATGAAACTGATCGTAACATTGAATTAACAAATTTGAAGAAGCAATTGCCGCTGGAGCCATAAAAAAAAGGAAACTGATGAGTCATAGAAGCAATATTTGCATTATTAAATTTCAATATCTTATTCCTTCGGTTTCCCTTTTTAGCCACATGTAACAAAATCTTTTCAGTTTTCTTCCTATTTATTATAAAAGTCACGATAAATTGATACTAGATAAGAGATACTAGACTAATATCTGCGTAATAAATGTTAAAATAGACAAACATTTTGGCACGTGCAATCATAAAATCAAACATTTGATAGGAATATTTTTTATTTTAATTGTATATCACTTTGATATTTGCTATCTTATGTAGTAATAAATTCATACCATTTGAATTTTATAATATTACGTTTAATCTGATATTCCTTAATATTTGATGGATCCTAACCATGTCTAGTATGACATTTTTATGTTTGCTGCTTTTTAACTCATGGTTTACGTTATACATACAGAATCCATGTATTTACAAATATGTATAAGGGATCTCACAAATGTACTGTGGTATGAAAAATACATTCTATGTCGTAGCACCTATCGAGTCAGAATCAGTTTTGAGCAAACTGAACTTCGAAATGAATGTATCTACTAATGTAGAATCTAAGGTTTTAACAGCTCTGCTGTGTAAGTCTGCAACATTCTTTGGATCACTGTGTTTCATCTCAAACGTAATATAATCGATCCAAACATTGACATTATTATTACCGAAATGTAAAATAGCCATCTCATAAGGTTTCCTTGCATGCTTCAGAATGATTTCTGGCTGCATGAGTTCTAAGTTTTCCATTTTTTTATGCAGCTCCAAACCAAAAGGTGGTTCCATGCAGAGGGCCTTGTAGACTTTCCGAGCCATTTGAATGTCTAAAACAAACAATATCAAATGTTAATGTCATTATCCAATTTGTACCTTTTTACATTCATTACACTCAATGTCAATTGATCGCGTTTTTAACGTGCTTGGGAGTTTATAGGTAAATACTTAGACATACTCTTTGTTAGAACAAGCCATTCAATATATTTTGGTTTAAAGTCTTTCGCAATAGCAGGTTCTGCTTGCAAAGCTGCTTTAAAAACTTCCTCAGTTTTTTCCGGGTCTTTTGCCTGTACGTATAAAAGCTTCATTTTCCAGATAGGTAGAGATTTCTCGCGAAGTCTTTTGATTGCCTAAAATCGTGAGAAATTCACAAATTACATTTCAGAACTCGAGGACTTTTTTTAAACTAACTTTAAATGGAGATTCACCTCTGTAAAGGCAGCCGACGCAGAATCTTCCTGATCAGTAGCGAAATAATGCTTCAGTCTCATGTGCCAAAGACTTACGCTATCTGGTATAGCTTCCGTGGCCCAACATAAGACTTCGTGCAGCTTCTTCTGACTGTTTTCATCTTTCTGATCATTATTTAGCATTCCAATCTAGAGGAGAAAAGTTTAATATTAGTACTCTCATTAAATATATTTAATTTAATCTAATAAATAATATCATTTCACTCTTAAGTTGTTACTTATTATTTTTTATTCCAAAACTAACCCAATATACGTAATACTTTTCTTTCAGTTTCTTTGCATTGTGAGCTTGAATAAGAGCAGTTTTCAGTAACTTCCGTTTGAAATTTGGTAAGGATCCAATATCTTGATTGATTTCTAACAGGCATTCAATATAGAGAGACCACATTTCTTCAGTCTTTATCTTCTTAATTGCAGTCTGGTACACCTCATTGCAGAGACTGATCCGATCTCTTGGCGTAGTTTGTTCTGTGTTTGTGATACCTAGTTTACTCTCTTCACTGCAAGGACGCACTAAGCCTTCAAGTTCACGGCGAGCCATAGTATCCCACATCAACGGCTCATGAGAATAATCTTCCACCAGGCCACTGTATTAAATAAATTACTTATCAATATGCACCATACATTACCATTCTTCGATAAATATATTTTTCTCTTACAAAATATAAATCTAGATGCAAAATGTAGTGTTATACTGACTTAACGATTTTGTTTTGTAGTTTGTCTGTATCTGGATATTCCTTCATAATGTTTAGTAAGTCAATCACAAATTTAACATCCTTAACATGCTTTGAGGCTTGCTGATATATAATATAAGCTCGTTTGAGCTCAATTGGCATATCATCCGTGGATTGCTTTCTCTCATCTTTTTGATCATCTTCAGTTTTGACCTCAGCAGGAGCTTCCGCTAGCTCCAATCTAGAAATGAAAATTAATTATAACACCCTCGAAGACATAAAAAGTAATTAATTTTGTCTAATTAAATTCTAAGTCTAGACTGTTCACGTTTAGGCAAAATATGGCTACATGACGTCTACTAAAGTACTTGCCTAAACATCTCTGTGTAGAGTAATCTAGACTCGGGATGAAAATGCAGACCTCTTAGTAAAAACTGTTTGGCATTTTCTGTATTTTTATTTTCTTCTAATTCCCAGCGAGCAGCTATGTACCAACATTTAGGCTTGTCTTGGTGTATTTGTAGCATCCTGCCAATCATTCGGCTGACAGAATTATAAAAACGCTAACAAAAAATAAATATGTACATAGTGTTATTACAATTTAAGTAAATATTACATGAACTTCTAAGAAATGCACATAAACTTACAACATGTTTGCAAAATTTCATATATGCTACCCAAAATCTCAAATCCTCCTGAAATTTCATAATTGCTTCTTCATATAGATGATTTACTTTGTTCGCAATTGCGTAATCAATGCTGGATTTTTTTTGGGTGATTCCAAATTTCTGAAAGAAAGAGTGTAGTGAACGAATGAAGGAGTATACTATAAAAGACTAAAAAATAAATACTTACATCTCTGCGTTGTTTAACTAGCTTAAGTAGGTCCATCTCATATTGAATGTAACGTAAATAATCTTCTTTGCATTTCGTATGGCGCTGAATCTTATACTCATACTCTTTTCGTTTCTTTGCAATTTCACTACAAATATAATACCATTAAATAGTTTCAGAATATAATTTAATAATGACTAATCAATTGTTAATTCATTGTTTCCAATACAATAATATGTAGTAATGGACAATCATACCGAATCTCATTCTTGTCAAATAATTTAATCCTCTCCATCTGCTCGAGCTCTGGGATCATATCCTCACATCTTTTTTCCACAAACTCCGCCATGGTTTATTAATGAAAAAGCCAACTGGCCTTTCAGTAATCCAAGACCTGATAACAAACAAAAATAGGATAAATTACTGTCATTGACATACATGTTAAAAATGTATGATTTAGAAAACAATTTAAACAAACCAGAAAAGAAAATGTTATACGAAATAAGGTTATGTCTTTTCAAATCTAACGTTACACTTCTATATAAACAAAAAAATTATTCTTTAATATGCCACCAATACCGGCAAAACTACTCCCTTGAAATAATTATTCTTCAGTAGAATATTCATAAACAACGTTAAAAAGCACGCCAAGATACACACCACTGCACACCACGACACTTTTTGGCATGAAGTAAGGAATTGTATTGAATTGTATAGAGTATTGTACAGACAGAGATGAGTTGGGAGATTGCTTACAGACAGGATCGTGCGATCGCATCCTGTGCTGCCCTCTGGTTTCGTACGTTAGCTTTCACCGTTTCTTGCCCCCAAGGGCGGCGCAACGAATTTCTAATAGGAGCTCGCGCACTCGCGATGGCGGTACCATCTACCAGTCGCCATTGGCGACTCACGTACTCGTGATGGTAATACCATGCGGCAGTTGACGGTGGTGGCTTACCTACGCTTATCGATACTGCTCGCTTTTGATGGTAAGGGAAGAACAATCGTGACGCTCCATTTGACTTTATCTACTTATCTACTACTATTAAGTACATTGTTGCCTCGAAGTCGACGTGATGCGGAGCTTTGGGGCACGCGTCGGTGTCGCCTACGGAACTCTCATGCAGCGAATGTGTTGAGTGCGATAGCTCCTAGAAATCTTCGCGCGTCCCAACCAGCCAAGCGCCAAGCTACGGGTCGAGACGTTGAGTATGTGTGCATTCGGCGCTATACTCGACAAGTATGCGTGAGCTCGGAACTGCGAAATATCCTCCCGAGGCTTACCTAACTGCGGATATAAGCCGAGTCATTTCGCGCATGATTTTTACATTTCCCTACTAGCGTTATCGAGCGTTTTTAGGCGTTTCTAGAGCGTTTTTGAACGTCTTCGAACGTTTTCGAGCGTTATCGACCGTTATCGAGCGCTTTTCGAGCGTTTTTGCCGCATGGTATTACCATCACGTGTACGTGAGCCGCCAATGGCGACTGGTAGATGGTACCGCCATCGCGAGTGCGCGAGCTCCTATCAGAAATTCGTTGCGCCGCCCTTGGGGGCAAAAAAACGGTGAAAACTAACGTACGAAATCAGAGGGCAGCACAGGATGCGATGGCACGATCCTGCCCGTAAGCAGTCTCCCAACTCATCTCTGGAAAAGGTTGGGAGAGACTTTCTATTGTCTTTGTTTCAAGTTAATAACATCCAGTATGGCAGCCTCTAGAATAAGTATTATCGTATTTTCTGATGTGTTATTTATTCGTATAAAGCAGTTATATATTAATTCTAACGTATAATTCTAGTGAACACAATACGCGCACAATGGCGTGAAGGATGGGATGAAGTCCCATCACTGATGGTATGTCTGTGTATAGCCATTCCAGCTTATACTTCAATTATTATAGGTAACATACGCGAAGCCTACCACCCAACGAAGCGTCGTTACTTTGATCAACCCAAAGGTAAAACTCATAAGAGTTTATTCCTTTTATTTCGTTCTGCGATTATGTAACCTGTGGAGTGCAATTGGTTCCATGGATTTGTTTAAAAATGCAACCACAGAATGTAACCATTTGTGTCTTTAGGATGTATTTATAATATTGATCCGAAAAGACCATTGGTCAAAATGTTTTCTGAGGTTGCTATCGATATAAAAGTGAAATCATTAAAGGTGTTTAAACTAAATGAATATGCTAACGAATCTACATGTATGCCGTAGTAAAATTAATGTAAGTATCCAACGCGAATGAAGTTTTTTAACATGTTTTATTTCTTGCAGTGGTAAGGCCAAACGATCCTGAACTACAATTAGAAAAGTTACGTTTTGGGGAAAACTAAGGAATTACATAGTGAATAAGAAGGTATTGTAGTACAAATACGTTATCTGTATGAAAAAGGCATAAAATAAATCAAACTCGTAATCCACATGAGTACTACTCGAATTTGTAAGCAGTGGATATGAATTATTGTATTTTATAAATCCTCTAGTTACCTAAATTCATTGTTTAAATTTTTTATGCCATTCTAATATAAAAATCTTGTATTCAATCCAAACATGAGATAAAACGTATCATAAGGTGGAATACAGAGAATACGACACATCGATTGGTTCTACGTTCCACTTCTATTCGTACATGGACGAGGGTTTCTCACGTTTCTAACCGTTTTACTAGTTTTGCTAAATCTAATTAGAAGAGTCTCCAAAAACCGTAGTTCTTATACAATAAGCATATTTCAATTTCAAGGAATCAATTCCGGTACTCGAGCGACAGCCATCGGAGTGAGTGTGCAGAGTGCGCGAACGATAGCAAGAGAACGTTCCACTCGCGTTCGATAAACCTTGGTAAAGGTATTTCGGCCATTTTAATCTACCACATCATACCCCTTCGCAAGAGCATATCGTACCTACATTTGGCACGGGTTGCTTTCAAACGGCCCTGATTTAATGAGCTTTATTCGAGAGGGAGTAAAATATCGTTCTGCTATGAGAAAAGTGTCGAGAACCGGAAGAGGAGGCTCGTCTTCATCGGCAAAGAAAGGCCACTGGTCTCAAGGACTTCTGACCTCCATGGAGGACCCAGACAGCAAAGTAAAGGAGGACGAATCCGTCATCGTCATTCGCGACAAATATCCGAAAGCTAGGTTCCATTATTTGGTACTACCGAAACGAGACATCCCCGGGATATCCAGCCTGACTGCGGACGACCGTAGCCTGCTCGAGCACATGGAGAAGGTCGGCTTGGAGTTAACCAAAGACCAGCCGAATTGCGAGTTCAAGTAATCTCAAAGCCCAGTTTAAAATTAAATTCACATCGCCTGAACTCTACCCATTAATTTATCCGTGTTCAGAGTGGGATACCATGCCGTCCCTAGTATGCAAAGGCTGCACTTGCACGTGATAAGCACGGACTTCGACAGTCCTTGCTTGAAGACCAAACAGCATTGGAACAGTTTTACGACGCCATTTTTCCTTCCCTCACGAGGTAACATTCTGAGGAAATCGTTCCTTTAAAGATCTCGTTATACCTACCGACTAAATGGCACATGCGTTAACAGGAACGCGTGGGATAACGCTATTATTCTTTTTCAGACGTGCGGGAACAATTGCAGCGCGATGGCGCCGTGACTAAGATGAGCCGAGAGGAGAGCGACAAGTACTTGAAGACGAGCCTTAAGTGCCACAAGTGCTCGGCGACTCCGAAAAACATTCCCGAGTTGAAGCGGCATTTGTTAAGTCACATCGACGATTGAAAACGATCACCGAGAATCGATGCCTCCCAATAATGGCAATCCCTCGGAGACGATCGTCTCAGATGTCAAGTTCATCGTTGCAACTTTACCTGTACTTATCTTCGTTTCCTAATAAAAAGTGTCAGTACTTCTGCACAACGGCGTCCCCGTGCTTCGGTAAAAATATTACACCTGTACGGTTCTTCTTTTTTTTCTCTCTCTAAGGATCTCTACAAAGGATGCGCAATTAAACTCCAAGTGATGCGATGTTTCGGAAAAAGTTTACTATAAATAAATCTGAGACAGCTTAATAGGGTTTGCTTTATCGCCAGTACCACCAGGAACTAACTATTTACAACGTTTTGTCTTCCTCGAATTCTCGTGTATCTGTAACGTGTGTATGTAAGTGACTTTTGGATACATCGCTATTTTAACGGGGGGCACGGTACCGCCGAATCATTGTGTACGACCTACGCGTGGTATACAGGGTGTCCAGGTGAAACGTATTCCCTACATGTCGACTGCTACGTACATTTAGTAATACTGCGCTTAATAGTTGGAGAAGTTTCTTTCTTTTCCGCGTAAAACCTCTCATTGAAACAATAGGCAACGGTGGATAGTGCAAGGCTTCGCTGTTATTGCTTGCATCGCGAGGACACGTTGTAGTGTAACTATAGTAACTGTAGTAATTATTCTAGATGATCCGCCTTAAGTAATTCTCACCTACTATATGCTTAGGTACCACTCACCCTCTCGCGCGATCCTCATTCAGTCCACTTTCTCTCTCTCTCCCCCACAAACACGCGCACATACACACGCAGTAACACCGTATAAATTATTAAATATAATTACCTAATATCTATCTATATTAAGCCTAATATATCTACCCATATCGTACAATCGCCACGCCGCGCACAACCGCCGAGGCGGCTCAAGAACACAATACTCTCAGTTCTATTCCGACTCCGCCGTAGGTCCAACTATTTAAGAGAGACCTGCATAAAACGCAGGAGACATATCGGCGGATTTAGAAAACGGCAGCCGAGCCGATCCTTCGAACTCCCAGCTCGTAGCGAATTATCATCTAGGCCAGGAAGAGAACGAAGAAAAAAAAAAAAAACTATCCTATGGCAGCTGGAAGCCCGCGGGAGCGGACGCGGTGAATATTCCGCCGTCCCCGTAGCGCAAGCCCAGTGGTGCCGCCTCCTAGACGGCGTTAAATCTCACTAAATTACATCTAACGAAGCCCGGCAAGATGGCGCCGTCCTCGGTGGGCCCTCCTCGGTCCGCCCGCGCCTTTCGCAGCCCGCCAAAAGCGGTCATTTTGGACAGAGCCGCTGGGTACCGGGGACAATCGTCGCGACGCCCTATCGCACCAAACCACCGACCCAGGCGTCGGGACGATTTCTTCGGACACGCAAACCTAGAGCCCGTCGAGTCGGCGCCGAGGTTCCGGGGTCTTCGGATACCCTGTTTAAGTCTTCGGCTCGCCGTCATTTAAGGGGGCGGCGCTGCAGTGCCGCCGAGCCACTATATTCGCGCCCGCCTATTATACGAAAAAAAAAAAAAAAAACGCGGTAAACGATACATTCTATGTACAACGGATGGTCGTCGACTTAACTCGATAACCTAACGATACCCTACACGGACGTCTCTATATGTACAAGCCTAACTACTATTCACAGTTTATAAATATAAATACGTATATACATATATATGTGTACGAATATCCACAAGAAAGACATACATATGTATATACCCCATACACGGCAGGAAATGAACGTTGTCTATGTACAAAAAGTGGACGGGCGACTCTTAGTGGTTGGCTCGGCGGCGGCTCGAGGGCGCGACGTACGCATGTCGCGTTATCGAGCGCTTATCTCAGGCGTCGGCTACGTCGACGGCGACGACTATCGGCCGTTTCGTATCCGTTATTACATATAGTCGTGGGGAGGGGGTAGCAGCGTCGCTCGGCAGGTGCGGCGACAACTATGCATTAGACACTAGACGCTAGTGATATCCTATTCTCGCAATGGTGACAGCAGTGGTTTCTAACGGTACTTCCTAACTTTCCTAACTTTCCTAACTTTCCTAGATACGTCGAATCGCGACGCGGAAATAATAAATTAACGAACGAACGAACGAATGAACGAATACGCGAGCGGGAGAGGCGGCCGACTCCCGCCGGTTCCTCGGAACAACTATAGTTAGAACTAGGGACGCGCGATACGGCACCGACGAGTAAGTACAGTAGGCGACGGTACGATAACACCAGTACAGTACTATAATATAGTGGGTATAATAGCATTCGGTAATTAATAGTGGTCGCGGTAACGATGGTAAGGCAGAGACGCCTGCGGTCGCACGGCACGGTTTGTCGTTAACGGTGACGGTAGTTTCGCAGGAGGGCGGAAATAGGACCTATAGTGGTTAGGTTCTCGATAGGTACATGGTAGATGTATGGTAGGAATCATAGGAATCGTCGGAATGGAGGCGTTGGAGAGGCGGCAGTGCGGCCACGGTGGGCAACTATACCCTCGAATTAAGCCAGTGAAATTAATAAATTAAGAATTGGTCAGCTATAACGAGAACTTTCGAGTCTCTTTCGGAAGGAAACGATAAATAGGAATTGGTCATTGCAAAGCCCTGGTCAAGGAATCGCTATAGGGTGCCATCTAGGAGCAAGCTCCGACCAGATATCGCAACGGTCGCAAAAATCTAGAATTCGCGGGTCTGACCGGAACCTGCTCTCCCCTCGTTTTCATTACAGCTACGTACCGCCTATATAAATATATAACTACTATTTACAGAAGGAATACGGAAGCGGAGATGGCCGAGAACCGGGCCAAAGGAGCGCCTCTAAACGTCTCCTCTCCCCCACGGAATCGCGATTCGCCTACAGCGAAAAATTAACTCTAACTTTGATTAGCTAACTAGAAGGTATTGCCGAGTTCCTTGGGGGGGTCGTATATCTTTCCCTCGACCCGGTATCCTAGAATTTCCCTAGCCCTTCGTTTCCCCCAGCTCCGAGTCCCGCGCATCCCGTGTCGATTCGAGCCTCGCTGCGAGATTCATTGGACGCATTTTTTTCCTATCTTTGAATTTACTAGGGCGAGGAAACAGGATATGCAGCGAGGATCGGGTCGAAGAGGCCTCGCATCAAAAAGGCAGGCGCGGTGTGTTTTCCGACATCCTAAAACGTTTCCTAGATAAATTCCCTAAAAGACCGTCCGCGCCACCGTCCTCGTCGAGGCCTCTTCGGGGTCGCGAACCGACACGGGACCGAGGGAACGTCCCAACGCCGCGCGGCAATCCATTAAATTTTCCTATACTCCGCGTTTTCCCGGCCCGGGGACAATGAGATATGGAAACAAAGGCCCTCTCGTCGGCAGGACGCTGGGCCGAGTGAACGACGACCTCCGCTCGCGGAATTTTACCGTGTCAATGTCGGGTTGTCCGTCTTCTAGGTCTCTCCTTCGTCTCTAATGGGGATGTCGCTCGTCCAACTCGGGACACCTCCATCTTCTCCACGTATCGGGTGTTTCCTTCAAGCGCTCGACTCCTGAGTTCCGAAATAGTGGACTCGCACCTCCTCGATGGCTCTGGACCATTCCAGGGCGAAGCCCTCCGGGTCTTCGAGGTAGTAGGTCCGGTTCGGCTGCAATCGAAACGAATCTCGGGTTAGGGATCTCCCTCTGAATAAATTCGAAGGCCGGTTAAGTTCCGTAAATATCAATCCAGATCCTTACCGTGTGGACGAAGAAGATCTTGAAGTTCTTGGGTTCGACCCTGAGCTCGGGGCTCCAGGGTATCTCGCCCTTGCGGACCATCAGGACGGGGTCGCCGTAATAGAGGTGCGGCCCGGTGGTCAGGAGCAGAATCCTCCGCCTGGCAAAGAGACCGCGCCTCTTGTTGACGAATCCTTGCTTGAGAATCAGGTTGCCGTCTACGAAACAGTCCCACTGGTTGGAGGCCTTCTGCTTCTCGAGCCTAGCCCTCATCTCCTCCGGCGAGATGTCCAAGATGCCGGAGGTCTTCTTCCGCCTGGGCTGCTCGACGACCGCCGCAACGACCGGCGGGGGTTCGCTCCGTTCCTCGTCGCTGTCCTGGCCGATGCCGAGGCCGAGCAACCTGGTCAGCTGTTTGTCGTCCAGGCCTGGCTCGAGATGGTCCGGCACCCTGTACTGGGAGCGCAGCTCCTCGTGCTCCGAGGTTCCGGGCAGGTACGGATAGATCGGCGGTGGGGTCTGCTCGTGGAGGGTCTCGAAGTCGACCCCCTCGAAGAAGGGGTGGGCTCGGATGCTGGGATAGCCGGACCCGTGTTCGTCCTGGGCGCCCAGTCGCTGGGTGGAATCGACCACCAGCAGCTCGCTCACCAGGCTCTTGGCCAGCTCGCAGAACCCGGCCGGGATCTCGTACTTGAGCTGCAGGATCTTCTGGAAGGTCATGTACTCGCTCCTGGACCAGAAGGGCGGCAACCCGGAGACCATCTGGTAGACGATGCACCCCAGGGCCCAGAGGTCCGAGGCCCTGCTGACGGTCTTATCGGACAGGAGCTCCGGCGAGATGTACTGCGCCGTCCCTACGAACGAGTTCCTACGCCTGCACCCCGACTCCTTCCGCAGCCGCAGTTGGTTCAGCTGCTCCTCGTCGCCATCCATCGTCTCCGTCCTGACCGTGGGATAGCTAGAATCGAAACGCCGACGTTCAGATTTTTGTATCCAACGGCAAGAACACCTTGAAACTCCACGTGGCGACGTAGCCAGGTATCCATGCAAACTCGAGACTCACCTGGCTCGGACCGGCCTCTGCTCCAGCTCGTTCTTCAGGATCTTGGCGCTGCCAAAGTCGGTGATGAGCACGTGCATCCTCTCGTCCATCAGGATGTTCTCCGGCTTCAGGTCTCGATGGATGATCCCGAGGCCGTGAAGGTACTCCAGCCCCCTCAGGATCTCCGCCGAGTAGAATCTGGTGCACTCGACGACGAACGAGCCGACCTTGTTGATGTAGGTCAGGAGGTCGCCGTTTTTCGCGTACGAGAGGACGAAGTAGAGTCGCTCCGGGTCTTGGAAGGTGCAGAAGAGCTTTACGAAGGAGTGCTTCGCCCCGGAGAGCATGTTGAGGACTTCCTTCTCCCGCGTCACCGACTCGGTCTTCTTCTCCTTGATGATATGCCGTTTCTCGCACACCTTGATCGCGTACTCCTTGCTGGTGTGAATGTCCTTGGCGAGGTAAACCTGTCGAGAGAGGAGAGAACCGATATAGTGGAAGGTGCCGGACGCGCGCAACGATCCCCACCAACTATCCACCGGAGTCTAGTCGCCGGCGACTGTCGCAATTTTTCCCTGCGCTCCACGCGAGGAAGACGGAGAATCTCGCTCCTCTTTTTTTTTTTTTCCCCTTTACCTCGCTCTTCTTGCATCGACGACCTTGTCGAGGCGATCGGCGTCTCTCGTGCCGACGCAATTTACGCGCCTTAACGCACCGAGGCTCGATCACGGCAACAAGGAGGCCGTACTATCGGGCGGATTTTTAAATTCTACTTACGGTGGAGAAGCTTCCCTCGCCGATGACCTTGCCAAAGATGAAGTCCTTCGGGGTGCGCTTCCGCGTGGGCGAGTTGATGGTCATGTCCGGGTTAGTGGTGGACGGCACCCTGGGCGCCAACGTAGCCGGCGGCGCCACCACCCCGTTAGTCACGTCGTTCGTTGGTGGAGACATTTTCGACACCGGCCCCTCCACCGTTACTGCCGGCTGTGGCGAAACGGTAAGCGCCTGGTTCGCCACACGCTGCAAACGAGGAACCACAAACGGACCGTTAAACGCCTGGCCGACCATTTGCCAACACTTCCTCGATATCGTCATACCAACTATACCGAGGGAAAAAAAGAAAAAAAAATCCACAGAACCAAAGATACAATTTTCTTAATTAGAAGAATAACTCTCCCACTCAAATTGTTATTGACCAAATATATCTCAGGTTCAATGAACATTTTTTTCTCATCGTAACGACGAGTGAAATCGATCTCGGTCTTGCATACTCGTGACTAGGTCTTGCTCAATTGAGCACTGTTTATATATATATATATATTTAAAAAAGTGCAACTCCCCTCGAGACCGATTTTGCTCAGAGTTATCATCGACGCGATACCGCGATACCATAAAAGCAACGGCAGGTTCTCCTCTCGCCGTTTCGTAATGGAGTAGAATTTATATTAAATGCGGTAAGAGGGGAGGTGCGTCGGAAGCGATGACACGGTCGCGGTCTCGAAGGGCCCCCCCGCGGACCCTCGAGATAACTCTATCTCGGTGTTTTGTCTACGGCCAGCGGGAATTCGAGAGGACTCGGCCTTCCTTGGCGTCTTACGTCGCAGGGGTCCCTTCTTAAGGGAAGTAGAGAGTAATATATATAATGCGGGATTACCAATCGCGAGAGTGGTTGAAAATCCGCCGATCAGAAAATCATCGCCAGTCTCGCCCCGCTTCCGGTTTCTCAATCGCGGAGAGGTCGCTCGCGGAGGTCCCTCTCCGCGTACGTTGTTTACGCACTGTCGGCCTAGCAACAGCTGTTCGACATTGAGGATCCTTCGGGCCGGCCCGAAGGTCCCTCTCCTCGCTCTCCTTCTCTCTCTCTCCCCGGCCTGTTTTGATAAACATTTATTTCCACCGTCGAGCGCGGCCTCTCGCTCTTTTTCGCCGGCAAGATAAATCCTATCTCGACGTCGCGTCGACCTAGGCTCGCAGAGTCGCGTCGAATTTGGCAAAACCGTCATCGGAAAATTCCCTCCATTAAGGGGACTCCTCCACCCTCTGCATTTCGAGTCAAGTACATACCAAGTACGCGTGTCTTTTTTTTTTTTTAAGCACCTCCGGGAAACCCGATTAATCAGCGAGCTGTTTCCGGGGAATATCCGTGGAAAAAAAAAACATGGCCGCCCAGTTAAACTCCTCGGTTAGCGTCGGAGTAATCGGAGTCCGTAGTTCATATGTGTATATCGGCGTTGTCATCCGCGGGATGGAAAACAATTCCGGGAAACCGAGGCTCACCAACTGAAGGATCCTACTTAAAACCTGAAGGGGAGGGGCTGGGAGTAAGTTGGTGAATGGAGGCGATGCGCGCGGCAGTAGCGCCATCGCTCGAATGCCGTAGCGCGGCTCGGCGCGCCGTTTTTATAGTCCGCGGCTCGGCGCGCCGAATCCTGTTTCCCTTTCTGACCACGCGCGCGCTAGCGTCGGCCTCTCTCTCTCTCTCTCTCTCGCTCTGCCGCGCGTGCGGTCGGAAAGAGAGGCAGCGGGTCAAAGAGCTAATTTATTTATCCCCGGGAAGAATGTCCACCTTTCGGGGAATCCGGCGTTATGCCTGGGTTATGCTAATGGGAGAGCTGGGAGAGTCCGACCGGTCGACTTGGCAGGTGATTCGGCCCGAAGAGAGACGACCGGCCTCCGTGGATTCGCTCGTAACGGTGGAGAACAAAGTATTTTTAATGGCGCCGTAAAGGGCCCCTCGCACCGCCGCCGGGGTTGTTAAAGGCGAGAGGGCCCCCGTTCGGGGAGACACGCGTGCACACACCTCCGCACCCGAGAATGGGATGCATGTGTGTGCATAGGATACACCAGGGAGGCCCATAAAGGACCGTGAAATCACGAGCATCGCTCCGTCTCTCTCTTCCCGGTCCAATATGCGAATTGAAACCTCGGGCCCCGTTTCCTCCCCCTCTCAACTGAACTGCAAACAATTTTTCCCTTTTCTCCCGTCGCCTGAATCTATCTTTTTTTTTTCTTCCTCATCCTTCCGATGAAAATTCAGGGAGATGACTTCTTTAACGAAACTCCGGAATTATTGCGGAAATTATTTTAAAAAATTATTATTATTATTATTATTAAAAAGGAGCGAGTCATTGATAATGATTTGGATGCATTTCAGGGTGAAAACAGATGTGTCAATTTTTCCATACACTGAGTCGGGCCGAAAAGAAGAACTGCGATTTGTTTTCGCGTTTGTCTCTTTAAACAGGGGCCGTGGCAAAGGCGAGGAATTTCTTTTCTCGGTTGGCCAATCTCGAGTTCAAGAGTGCATCGACGCGGTCTTTCTTACTCGAGCCCTTCGAAATCCACGCACGGCAATTTCCACGATTAACGGCGTCAAAACGACCCGAGCGGCAGCGTTTCTGTCGCGCGTGGTATGTCGAAGTGGCCGGAGAGGGGGGATCCGCTTGAGAAAGAAGACGAGGGAGACCGGGGAAAATAGGCGGACGAAAACGACGGCGAAGGCCGCCGAGGACCATGAGAGGACTATGAAGAAGAAGACGAAGAAGAAGAAGAAGAAGAAGAAGACGCGGAGACGATAAAGACGATGAAGACGACGACGTAGACAGGCAAGCCCCTCATCGTCAGCCATGCGTGTCAGGACATCGACCTCGAAGGTTTGCCGCTAGAGGCCACTACAGTGGTACGTCCTCCCGACCACCACGAGTCCCCTGCCTCCTTTATTTGCTCCTCCGAGTTATCCCGGAGGGGACACCCTCCCCGGCAAGGAAAGAAGAGGAAAAAAAAGGGCGAAAAGAAATAAAGGAAGAAGGAAAAAAAGACCCGGTGGGATCAACTATCCTGCGTGGTTGGAGGTCGATCCCGCCGGCAGCGACGCGCTCGAGTGGCGCGCGAGATCGGATCAAGCGCGGAGTTTCGAAAACTTGTTCATTCAAACCGAAACGTAACATGAGAATTGTCAAGGTAAAGATAAAAGCCCAGTATCCCCGGAGAAAAAAAAAATAGAACAGAGAAGAGAGTCTCTGGAGAAGGATAAACTAGAGGAGAAAAAGTCGACAGGGGGACATCGATGAGGTCCAGCCAAGGGGTGCGTGGGAGAGTCATAAAGTGAGAGATAAGAATAAAAGAGAAAAGGGAGCGCCTAATCTCAGATCCGGCGAGTCCGCTTGCGGTTCCGTAACGAATTTTCGCTGCCCCCTCCGCGGTTCGGCGATTCGGATATCGTATAGGTTCGTTGCTCCTCGAGAGGTTAGGTGCTTCGGAGCGCGCGCCGCGGTCTCTCTCTCTCTCGCCGCGGCGGCCGCTGAATCACCCGGTATATTACCCAGCAGCATTCCAACGGGCATTCTAATTTTAGCCGCGCACATCCCCCTCTCCTAGGCGGGTATCTGTCTCGCTCGCTCCCGGCCATCTCACGGCTCGACCGGAAGGAGGGAGCGAGAAGGAAAGAGCGAGAGAGCCCGCGCTCGCATCCGACGAGGACGGGAGCGCGGCCGCTAGTGCGGGCGCGCGCCACCGGCGGCGTCGCGCTCGCCGCGTTTGCCGCGCAAACCGTCGGCGGCTCGACTTGGGGGACGCGCCTGCGCGGCGCGCCGCTCTCTCTCCCCCACCTCGCGCCGCGCGAGCGCGCGCGCGACGCCGCGACACTTTTGCCCGTGAATGAGATGGTTCGCATTCGCAGACGCTGAAACATGCCGGGAGGTGCGCGCGGCCCTGCCCCAAGTGTGCTAAATTCGGGCGCGACGCCACGCCGATAGGGCCACCCCGAAATAGCGCGGCGACGACGACGGCGGCGGCGCCCGGCGTCGCGCGGACCCCTTTCTAGGGAGGCCTCGGCCGAGCCGCCTCCTTTTGCCGCGCCGCGTCGGCCATATTTTTCTCCCTGCCCTCTCCCCTGCGGAAACGTTGCCAGGACCCTTTCGCGCTCCTGTTTGCGTTTTCGCGCCCAATTACCTCGTCCCTCCTAAAAATTCGGTCTACGCAAACGTCGCCGTATCGGACGCAAGATGGTCCTTTCAAAATTTTCCAAATCTTTCCATCAACCTATTGCCACACCCCGCCTCCTTAGGATAAACGGATTTTCCGTGAAAAACACGAGAGTTAACGTAAACTTACCCCCGCGAATCGGCGTCAGCTCGACGGGGGGGAGAGGGTTGCGACACCGTGCAGGTTACGCAAACCCGACCGACCAAGTGCGTTGACAACCGATAAACGCGCGCGCGGCAAGGACCTTCGCCGGTTTCTTTTTCCACGAGATACCGCGCCGCGATAACGGGCTAAATTAACACGCGGAATCTATCCGCGTCCTTATGACGGCCAGAAATAGCACCGACCGTCCGGAATTAGCTTGGCCGCGAAATAAGACCCGCCTCGTGCACTCGAACCCCCTTCTCCCCCACCTCTCGGCCTTATCATCGGAGAACCGCTCGATCCCGCTAATAGTTTCAAGGAAAACCCATAGTCGTTCTCCCCTTGCCCCCAAACCTAATAGGCCTCTCCCGGGCCTTAAAAAAAAAACCTCACCCCCTCCTATCACCTCACCTGGAAAACATCGACCACCCAATCTGTCGCGGAAATCATATTTTCTCTTATCACTCTCGTGATTCTTTTTCTTTTTTTTTTCTTCCCCACCCTACCACCGAATCACAAAGAAATCACGACAGCTCTCCTCGATAACCGAAGTTCAGTGTCCCTCCAAGGGTCACGGCCCGTTAAAAACTCTATCGTCCCGTTTCCTGCCGCCAACGGGATAAACGCGAAACAACGGAGTGCACTTCGCCCCCCCCCCCCCCCAGGTCTGGGGGCAATCGTTGAATAAACATTTACCACGCGGCCCGATAACGCGCGCGCGCGCGGCGCGTCCGGAGGAGAAAAGAGAGAGAGAGAAAAAAGTGGCCGCCCTTTGTACGACGTCGCGGCGCGACCCGCTCTTCTCTCTCTCTCTCCCTCTCTCTGTCGCTCTCGGCGGGCCGTGGGAAGCGACGCCGCCGCCGCCGGGAAAGGGTGCATGACCTACCCTCTCCGCGGGGAGGTTCGGGGCGCCGCAGCAAGGTGGAGGCGCGCGCCGAAGGGCGGAAGGGCCGCCCGGGCCGAAGGGTCGCCGCGGCGGCGCACCTGCGTCCCGACGCCGCAGCGCGGCCCCGACTTCCGGCCAAGGGCCGCCCCGCCGAAAAACCGCCACCCCGTCTGCGGAATAATTCCCCGCCCTACCTCTCGGGACTATCTCCTAGGCTCGAATTGCGGGATATAAAAGACCTCGAATTTCCCCCCGGTAAAATTAAATAAGCATTCATAGAAAATATAGAAAAAAAAAAAAGAAGAGAATGCAATGAGAAATTCGAGGACCTATAGAAATATGAGGAAGAAGAAAAAAAAGGGGGATTAAACGAGAAATTGAAGGATGGAAAAATTCTGCGATTTCTGTTTACAGGCAGAGCTTCGTGTGGCGGCGGGACGCGACGTCGACTTGTAAATAGTCGTCGCTGATATGACGGGATGATTTGCGGATTAGAGATCGTTACGCGGGATGACGATCGAAATTTCCGTACTCGCACTTTTCCGCGGTATTCTACGATCCGCGTGATAACGGGGCGCAGGTGTGCAAATATCGAGGTGGGCGTAGATTTATATGCAGGTGCGATTACGCTCGTCGTAAGAGACTCGCGTCTCGATTGAATTCAGGACCTCGCCTCGCTATCGGTCCCTTTGCATCGTCCAGTTCCCCCGCGGGCTCTCTCGATCGGTCCCGATAAGGCGCGAGACAATTCCGAGCAATTATCTCTCGGCCGACTGGCTCGAGGAAGCCGCGGCGAGGCGAATCGAACGGGAGTAAACAACTCGCGGAAGCAAACAACGAGAGAGAGAGAGAAAGAGAGCGAGGGATGATCTGCGCAGATTGGGCCGAAACATGAGTTAAATGGCCGCGAGAGTCAAGTAGCCACGATCGGTCGCGCGGAGCGAGGAAAAACAACAAATAAGTTGTATCAATTCCAGCACATTCAATGGAAGATTTTAAACACCCAGAGGGTTACGCGCAGTCCCTAGCGCGAGAGTGGAACGCGAACGAAGGTCGCAATCACGGCGCAACAATGTTTCGCGCCAATCGATGCACCGCCGAGAGACCGTTAAGTGGCGGTGCCCGGTGGGAAAGGAAGCACCGGGCCTATTCCCCATTTACATAACAAACAATCGCGGCGACCGATCGCCAGTAGACGGGAGTTGAGGCGAAAATCGAGTTACCTGGGAGATATCGCTAAGGAACGCCCTTTTACCGAGTGGTCGGATTTCGAGTTACCGGTGGATTTATAATTCGGATGAAAAAATTGCCCTGTAAGAGGAGACGGCTGAGACTCGAGGAGGAGGGAAAGGTCAGGGTTTGATATAGGTTAGGGCGTTTTTAATTCCGAAGTCGTTACCTATGGGTATACCAAGGGTCGCCGTGTTAGAGGAAAAAAGGGGCGGCGCTATGTGGCGCCAAGGAGAGCCGAATTCGCAGGCTGCAGAGGCAGAGAGAGGGGGAGAGAGAGATATCTCCGATCCGAGGGTCGGCGGACCCTATCGAGATTCCAGGGCGCGCCAGGGCTGCGTCTCGGGGCGAAAAGGGGACGCGCCATTTTCCCGGGTCTTTCGGTGCGTCGGTCCCCCTCCTTACCTTAAACAGTTTTTTAAGCCTCCGATAGCCGCGATGCAATCGCGACACGTACTGCTTGTTGGGATCCAGCTTGATCGATTAAAGCCACAGTTGACTGGATGAAAACAAACTTGTAACTCTCAATCGGTCTCTCTCCGAGTGCGTAAATCCCCGTAGGTAGAGTGCGTGCGCGGTCCGCTCGAGTGACCGTTTTTCTATGGGTGTTGGTATGGGTGGGTTGTATTCGCGTGAACTTCGACGACCGTTTGTACCTAGTTATATGTATATATAACGTGGGTGTATATACATAGATACGGAGGACTTCACGAAACCGGAGAAAACACGTCCGTGGCCTTTGAGAGCCGTTCGCTTACTGAATTCCGCGGCGGCCGCGTCCCGGCTGCTAACCCGCGCAGTTCCCCCCACCACCGGCACACCCCAACACGTCACGGCCTCCCTTCCACTGCCCCACCACTGCCGGGCAGCTCCCCTCCCTGTGGCCGCGCGAGGCTAGGGGAAGCGCAAGGCGGAGGCGCCATCTAGTGGGGGAAGCCGCGTTCTCAGTCGCGCCCCGGCGGTCGTGGCACCGCGAGGTCGGATCGACGAACTCGCGCGAAAGCACTCAGAAATTCAAAATACGACTTCTTCCGCGGGACTTTTAACAAAGTCAATGGACTCTGCTAGAAAATCACCTTTAAGAATTTCGAGAACTCGCGAGTCGCCCCGCGGGTCTCGTGTATGTCCGTCTTTTCTTATGATTATGATTATTATTTTTTTTTTCAGAATCATCGCAAGGGAAAATACGTTATTCGGTCGGAATTCGTTTTACACGATTCCGCTGGGGAGCGAAACTCACTTTGAGGTTAGGATTCTCTCTCGAGCGGGTGCGCCGGGAGTCCCAACGACTCCCACTCCTCAAGTGGTTGTTTGCAAGCGACTTCTGGGAAGCGGCCGCGCCGCGAGTAACGGACTCCGACTCGGGGCTCGCATTCCCATTCTGGCCCTGCATCCGGTCGGTTCTCGGATTCAGTCCTCCCGCCCTGCCCGCCGGCGGCGCTCCTTTCGGGCCCGAATGAAAACTCCACCGAGAATGTCCGATGAATCATGTTTTCTCGTCAACAATCCTCGACGGTCCTTCCCGGAATTCCAGGTCCTGCGCCGCTCCCACACGGTTCAAAGATGTTTTCACCTAATCCTATCGCCGTCCAACCTAACCTAATCCTATTTTCGCAGGAGATGCCGAACGGTCGTGGGCTCCGCGACGGCAAACAAGGAAAATCGACAGTTTAACGGAGTAAATCACCGACGTGCAGTTCCTCGACGTAGTTTAAGCTCTCACGGTGGAAAATGGAGCGACTCCCGTCACGGTCCGAGGTAGTTTCCGGGAGAGGCTCTTAAATCGCACACCTGTGCAATCGGCGCCAGGTAGGATCGAGCGGGAGGTCGGATCGATGGATCGATGGATCGATTTTCAGTTGTACAAACGTCGCTCGGCGCAGGTGGCACGCGTGCGCTCGCCGGGATCGGCCGTGTCGAGCACGTGTCGCGATCGGCGGGTCAAGTTGCGAAACGAGGGCGCCGCGACGCGTGGCCCCCCTCGTCCCGACGCCACGACGGCGATCCCCCCCGGCGAGGAGGAAACTAAACAATCGGGCTCTCTCCGCGATCGATTATCCGCGCGATTGGCAAATCGGCGCTATTATCGAAACACGAGTCTCTTCCTCCCCGCGGGGCGACGCGCGCGGTCGTGCGTGACCCCGCGTATCGAAACTCGCAAATCCCGGCCGATAACGACCGCTCGATGACAACGGAATAATAAACCGGGGCGTCCTGGACTTCCGGCCCGATCGAGCGGAAGGATCGGGGAACTTTCTCGCCGGTTTCACCCGGGGAGAAAGGGATCTTCTAACCGGGGAAAGAAAACCGCCGACCAATCGACGAAACGCTATCGATTTTAACGCGCGACTTTAGCGGCCGACGCCGACGGCGACGAGACACGCGGAGGGGTTTACCCCAATACCGCGCGATTGCGATTCCGCATGTCAGAATTGACTGGATGTCGCGGGGAATGAGTAACACCGCTCAAAAAGGAGCATATGCATCGAAGGCGATCGAAGAAGCGGCCGGGCCGCAATCCGCGCGCGCCTCAAATAATCCGCATAATCCCGTCCGCCGCGTGCCGTCGTAAAATCCGTCGGCGTGCCGTTAACGTTTCTCTCTAAATAAATGCGAGAACGTGTATTTCTCGCATTTCCGACGAGGTTAACCTCTCGCCGGAGTTAACGCCGCTCTTCGGCGATATTTTCAACGGCGGCCATTTTGGATGCGCGCGCACGCACCGAGCCAGTCGAGGGGACTTCTGTGGAATTGAGGTCGCAGCCTCGGTCGGTAATGCCGGTACCTGCGTCGCGCCGGTACTCCAATGCGGAAGCACATATTTAGCACACCCGGTATATATAAACGGACGTCTGCGATTGCGTTGCGCCTCTCTATGCTCGTTTGTTGCTCCGCGGCCGTTTCTACGATCCGCTTCGGACACCGAGCGACGTTCTCCGACATCGTTCCGCGTTTCCCGACCGCCAAATTCTGAATTAGATCGTTCCCCGATTTATCTGGCGAGTCGATAAACCGAACGGCCTGGTCGAAACAATCGATCTTGGACGCGTTTCCGAACTTTCGCCGGCTGAATGATATGAATTTTTCACGGTTTCGCTTTTTGCTTTTCAAGATGGCGGCGCAGGATGCGGCCGAAGGTGCAGCGTGACCATTATTTGGATGCCAAAATATTTTTGGGAAAAATGTTTGCGCGCCCACGAGTTGGATGAATGCCGAGTTAATACGGGCGCACGGCAGACTTGAGCAAAGATGAAAGGCAGGCCTGATTAAATACAAATTAGGAAGATTAAAGAGTAGCATAAATCATTGTTAATGGAGGTTCGTTTCTGCGGCTGGAGATAGTGGGCCGCTCGGCATTTAACCTCAAGGCTGAATCTAATGGCGGAAAAAAATTATCTCCTACCGAGACGAAATTCGACCATTGGACCGGAAGATTATGCGACGCGATGCCAGGATGTGCCCGCGGCTTCAAGGACGGCCAATTAATAAGGAACTGATCCGTTCGACTGCTTACTGGAGGGTGAACCTTAAATGAGACAGAATCAAAACCGCGACGGTTAGGCAAATAGGAAGACTCGAGACGCGACCGTGTTTAGCAACGCAAACGTCAAATAGTGTCGCCGACATAAATCCCATTAGCAGGATGTTAAAGTAATTCGTCGGAACGGCATGGAAAGCAATGCAAATATTAAGAGTACGTAAACATTTGCAGAAGCTGATTGCAACCATCGAACTGGCGTCCGGGGCTATCGATAAAATAAAACAATGTTGAAAAATATTGTTGCTTCGTATTATGGAGTACTTATCGAGGCGCTCCCAGCCACGTGATAGCTGGGTAAATATTGTCCGAAGGAAAGGAAAAAAAAAAAAATGCTAATTACAAAGTGAACGCGATCGCCGGCAGTGGAAACGATTTGGTACCCCTTTCGTATATTCTTTCCCGGACGATTCGAGAACGCGGTATGAAATAATTCATTTGTCGTAGAATTTATCGATCGTTGCGACAGTTAATCGGAAACGTCGCTTCGTCGATTAAGACCATTAAGCCGACGTCCACTAGACCCGAAGGGGGCCGATTTCCTAACGGTGGAAATTAAGAGTCCTCTCTCGACTCCTCCACTTCCGGTCGCGAGAGCGCGACGAGTGGTCTATTATTAAACCCGCTAAACCTGCGATCGACAGGCGAATAATTGTTTTACGATGTAAAGGGACGAGATGGACGAATTTATTGTGTAGGGGAACCGTGGGGGAAAAAAGAAAGGAGCCGCCTGCTTTCGATTTGGACTCGCTGGCGTGAAAAATCGCGGGTCGGCCCATTGGCGGAGATCATCTTTTTTTTTTTTTTTCCCCATCTCCCGAGTGGATCCTAACCTCAGATTTTAGGACGAGCCGAAATCCAAACTCTGAAAAGGGAGTACTCTCGAAATCGGCGCGTCGCGCTAAACCGAAGTCTGCGATATTGGCCGGTCATCGTACATCCTTTGACAGTTACATCGAAATCCGGACCGTCGGGACGTGCGTACATCGAGATATATCGCAATCGGTGGCTTCAAGGGTCGAAATCCACGAGTCGCGGGACCGATAATGGCGTTTCTGCGATGCAGATAATGCCAAGATTGCGAGGCGCCGTTTCTTTGTGGGAGTCATTTGGACACCGCTCGAGCGTTGCTGGAATTTACTGGATGAATTTCTCAGTCGATACCGATCGATCGATCGATCGATCTCGGGGCACGTGGCGTAGCGTTCCTCGTACCGAGATAATATTAGGATAAACGGACCTTCGATTCTACATTGTTTCGCCGTTACGCGTGTCGTCACACTCTGGCCGGTCGCGATACGCTTAATCCCCTTATCGAGCGGGCTATAATCGTGCCGGTGTATTAATAGTAGTCGAGCAAAATATTTTTCTCCCCGTATTTATACCGGCAGGAATTAAATACCGGCTAATTAGGATCGAGGTCGATACCGGTAGGCCTAATCAGGGGGGCGATGCAAACGACGAGGCGAGCCAACGTCGTCACCGAGGCGTCAGATTCGCGGCGCCGGGTGCGTAGTAATTTAATCACGTGAACGGGCGATAAGGAAACGCTCGTTCTCGCCTAGGACAGTTTTCTGTGAGTTTTTTGGAACAGGATCGACGACCGGTCGGGGCGCGGAGTGGAGGAGGCGCCTATAGAGACGGGAAGCGAGATAGAGGGAGGGGAAAAAAAGGCCGATAAACGTCGATGCGGCGTTATCAGTGTTTACAGCTTACCGCCACGTAGTGGATCGCGTAGGCCGCGTGAATCATTCGATCTTCGAACTCATTCACATTTCACTCGAGGAATCGAACAGCCGGGCACGCGCGTGCCACTTGCCCGGCTCGTGACCCATCGTCGGTATGACAGGGATCACGCCGAAAACCGGCCTCGCGGAATCCCCCCGGCGATTCCGGCGAAACCAAAATTTCCGCTGCAACTCTCCCTCGCGTAGATCGCTTAGCCGTCCTCGGGGATCGGATTTCGCGGCTCGGAGGCGGAGATAAAAAATGGAGAAATCGCGAGGTGGAGAAAATCCCGCGGGGAGGTAAGCGGCCACTTGCGCTGCCGCGTCGCGACTACCTCGACGCTTCTCGATCGATCCCGTTGGATCGAATTCGACTGTATGCCACTATGTCGATTGTCTCGTTGCCAACGGCGAATTGGCAACGGTGACCGAGACGTGCCCTAAAATTCCCGCGCCTGCGCCGGATGGAAAAACAAAGGGTTTCATCGAGGCGAATTTTCCGAAACGCCCGGATCCTCCGAATCCCCTGCCCGATTTCTATTTGCACGCCCTATCGATACGTGATCCCAGACACAAGCGACGTCGTTGCCGTTGCATCAGGCAATTTCACTCCTGGCCGGATGAATTACCTGTTTGCGGAGCCGTTGGCAAGATCACGAGAGCGGCGTTGCATCAGGGTTTGCCTCGTAAATATTTTGGTACTCGGAATCTGGATTACACATTATCTTATCTCGAATGTGTACATTTAAGAAAGACTGGACGCACCGCGGCACAAGGAAAATATGACGTACCGGCGATTTTTTCATCCTCTATCTGGCGCAAACAATCTAGAACCTGTTGGAAAATCCCTTCCCTAGGGAATTCGAATTGCGGCCCGTTGAAACCGATTCCTTCCCGGTGAAAAATCATTTTCGACTGGACACGTGGAGACGATACCCGAGATATCCCTATCGCCTCGAAAACATGTCCCGAACGGGTCCGCGAGGCGGTATCCGAGAGGCGTTCCGACGAGGAAAACACTCGAAATGCGTTTCCGCGAAGCGAGCGTGGGTGCGAGTGCAACGTGCACGCGTGTGACGCACTCGCGTCGCCCGTGCGCATATCGGAAAGGGGCCTCCGTGAATCCCCGAGTGACAATCTGTGGGCATTCCGCGGTTTATCGGCCGCAAGCGAATTTCGGGGCGTCTCGTTATCAGCGGGACGCGCATGCGCGGCGCGCACTCGTTCGCGAAGTCGGCCGATAATGCCCTCTCGACGTACGCGCCAAACATGTTTGTTTAACTCAGAACCTGTGACGCGGGAGATGACTTTGTCTTCCGAGAGGTGCGAAAGAAAAGCAAGACGTCGCCGAGACGTACGTGCACGCACACATCACGCGTGCGTACGTCGCGGCGCTCTCGACGCGGAAGGAAAATATGCCCAATCGGCGATTACGAGCGTGAGAATATGCGAGACGGTCTTATCTATACTTCCGTTACGAATTCAATGAAAAATCGCGGAAAGTTTCTGGATAAGTGTCGAGCTACTCTTTGAAATTTAGAATATCTTTTTTTTTTCCTTTTTAATTTATCTTCAACATCGGGGAGTCGTTTCAATGTTTGGACGATTATTGGACCTATTTATTAAGGGAGACGCCGGTCGTCGTCAGCCGCGACGTCGGGACAATATTTACGTCCTGGTACGTCGCGACGCAGATTAAGGCCGGGCCGAATAATCGGGACGCGTCCGAGGAACGTCGCACCGCCGCGACGCGGCTGTTTAATAAGCATTAGGAGCGCCGCATGCACCGGTAATAATAGCTCGAGTGTTATCGAATTCCTCCCGCGTTATCACGGCCCGAGGAGCCCTGACGACGCGTCACGGCGAGCGAGACGAGCCGAAAGTAATCGGACCTCGCTGACGTTTCTCGAGGTCTTTTCCATTTCACTTAACCCTTCCCCCGATTTTATGACAAAGGTGACGACTTACCACGGACAGTCGCGCCATGGTCGCGAGGAAGTACGAGGTGAGCCTCCGGTGCTTCTTGCAGGACATCCTCCACTCGTCGACCCACTTGAACGGTAGTCATCAAAATTTCTAAAAGAAGAAAAAAAAAATGAAAAAAAAAAATAGAAATAAATTATCGATACGAACTCGCGACACGAAGAGAAATACTTTCATTCGCTTCCGACGAAAATCCGAGGAAAATCCGGGATGCCCTCGTTTATGGGCTCAAACGCACTCGGGCGATTCCTCTCGGTTATCATTTCGCGATAGATATCGGCCGTCGACGGTCAAGGATCTCGTTGGCTCGCGACTCGTCCTCGGAAAATCGGAAAATCTTGCGTGACCAGGTACGTGGCACTGTGATGCACCAGGCGGCATGTGCAAAGGATATATACTCGGCTTGCAGTGTGCACTCGCAATCTGCATACGTCACACAGCCGATGCGACGTCGCTGCGCGCGTCACGCGCCCCGTACTCGCGCTATCGTTATCGGCCGCGAGTGCACGAGCGATAACTGCAGAGGTGCATAGGTGTGCACGCGTGGGCAGTTCCCGCCCTCTCGGTGTAGGCGTCGATCCTTTGAGAACATCCGCGACGGTCAAATATTTTCCCTCGAGGCAGTAAATGCCCTCGGCGACCGCATCCTCGAAAAACGTCAGCACGTACATCCACGATGCACGCGGGATGCACCGGAAAGGTGCATTCCGAGGTGACGTCAGAGGCGCCGGTGCGTCGCAGTGCCCCTTTTAACTCGATCGACGTCGAGCTAGACGCCTTCACCTGCGCGATGCACCTTTCTACGACCCTCCGCAGGCTTTTAAAAAAATTCGTCGCAATCGAGAAGGGAGTTTCCAAATCTCTGGCGAAAACGATCGCCGAGTTACTCGACTCCTCTGCCCGAGGCTTTGACGCACGAAATTGGACGTCCGCCACGTGCTTCAGGGCCCCCACTCGATAAGGCGATAACGGAGTCGACGTCGTCACGACGCCCCAAAGGATGACGCGTGGCGTCGGATTTAACGACCCCGCCCGTTGTACGTCACCGACGTTATTCGTTTCCGTACACCGGTCTTATTGGCTTCCCTTGATTTTCCACAATTTTCCTCGATTTTCCTCGAATTCGACAAACTTCGCGAGAGCATCGTTCCTTTTTTTTTATTTGCTCCGAAATTATTCCTCCACGGCGTGGAAGGAGTCCCTGGACGAGACTCCCTGTCCACCATGCTCCGAAGAGCGTCCGATCGAGATAAGTGTCTTTAAAAAAAAAAAAAAAAAAAAGAATTTCGATCTCTCCCCGATTTCGATTTTTCCCGAGTCTAATCGAACCCAGAGAAGATCGTCTCGAGAGCGACTTCGGCCTCAACTCGCCCGATTTCCCCGTCGAGTGGGCATCTCTTCCTCGGAAGAGCGAGTCGGAACATCTCGAGCGGATTGCTGGCCAGGGTGGTCCTCGGGAAGGACGATTTCCGATCGATCCCCGGACACCTCGTCGCCGCACGTATTTCTCGGTGAATCTCTCTCTTCGATGTTCTGGGCCGCCTCGTGTCGCCTTTTATGCATCCAAGACCTTGGCGCGATATCTGGCGGCGCGTGCTGTTTAACGACTCCACGGTTCTCTCTCTCTCTCTCTCTCTCTCTTCTCCGTCCACTTTTGCACAGACGGCGACGTCTCCGCCTCGTGTGCGATCTCGAATTCGCGTTCCCGTCGGGCTCGCACCTCCTATTTCGCTTCGGGCGCGAATCGCGAGCGAGTGCAGTCTGGTCCAAGAAGGCTCGCTATCCGATCCGGCATCCTAGTCTCGAGGAGCCTCTATACAGGGCGTAATACAATCCCCAAATTTTTTTTTTCCGGTGATCTTTCCTGGGAATTTCTGTAGGGACACTTTTTGCACCTGTTATTCTTAAGGGGGGTGGGGGTAATTAGAGTACTCAGCGAAAATCCAGGGTGGGCGCCCTCGCTCTCGCCTCGACGCCTTGGCGACGTATCTCGCACCCTCCGAGGGGGATTCCAGGGGCGAGATTAAAACCACAGCCACGATGCCTCCCCGACTCGGTAAAATCACCCCTGGGTACCTCGGAAGTTCTCCTCGGGGGTGAAGTAACCGGGTCACCGAGCGACCCCCTTCGCCTCGCGTTTTCACCCCGAATCCCCGTTTCGTCGGCGCCAAATTACGGAGCCTGTATAACGGCGTGTCACCCCCCCTGTACCCGATGCCTCCCTAAAAAATGACAATGCGATTAATCTAAAAACAGAGAGAAACACTCCCGTTTCGACAGAATTTGGAAACGAGACCTCTCGTTTCAGAGGATCTGGGTATTTCATTTCGATTTAAGGGACCCGAATTATTTCAATTAAATCATGATCGGCGCGAGTAGGGGTCCGTTTGCGGAGGACGGTCGCTCGGCCGATTCCGCGGAGAATTTCCGCCGAGAAGGGACGTCAACGAGACGTCACGGAACCGGCGCGTTCCGGTTCTAGCCGCCCGTCGGCGTTTCTCGGCAAGTTTTCGGGCTATTGTCGTGTGAACGCGCCTCAAGGGGCGCCTCCACGCCGAGTGCGGAATTAAATCGTCGGGACCGCTTAACCTCGGCGATCCGAATTTCCCTCGGCGGCCATTTCGGTCCTCCCTCGGCCGCGATCGACCGCTCGATCGCCGCATGCTCGATAACGGCGCCGATCCCGATTTTCTAATCGGGGCCGCGCACTCCGGGTGAGGATTTTCCCAGGAGAAGAAAGAGGGCGAAATATCGCGCAGGTCGACGAGAGTTTCCTCGGGGCCGACAAAGCTCAGGATAATTCCGCGTTCTGGCTCGGGCGGAAGCGGCAGCTCGTTAAATTAAAGGCCGGCCTGACGTCAGACGCTCCAAAGGGGACGGGAAGTTGCAATTCGCAGTGCCGCATTCTCCGAGCGCGACCAGGATGCACCGGGATGCGCGTCGATTCCGCAACGCGGTTTTTCTTCGACGATTCGATGCGTCTCCGACTCGGGGGTGTATCCAAGGGAAAATGGGATCCTTCGCCCGGACTCAGATTTTCTCATTTTAATTTTTTTCTCTTCATATTTTTCATATCTTTCGGATGAGCCATTCCTACTTTCCTATTTTTTATTCCTGGATTATCATCGTCCATTTTGATTTTCCAACCTCGCCACGGTCTTGATAGACGGAGGATCGTATAGGCTGTTTTTTCAAATTCCTCGGACGTGCTGATAGAAAATTTCCTTGTAGCGTTTTCCTCGCGGTACGTGTACACGTGTCCTCGCGGAGGAGAGTTCGCGCGCTGGAGAAGGACGGAGCGAGCGCGCGGCCCGCGGGACCGAGAGAGAGGGA